AGAATGCAATGGAAACCACTGGAGGTACATTTCTTAAGAACCACCGCTAGTTCAATAAATATAGGTAATTTAAATAATAAAATGTTAATTCACATGTCAAAGATCTCTTTGTGCACAACATTTCTTGTGTAGATCTTTCCATCATTTTTAGGCTCGCCTTGCAGAGGACCATCCATTATTTTTAATTTTACGTCTGTTCTTTCACGAACTCTTGAACAGGCAACCCTTTCCAAATGCAGGCTCATGTAAAAAAATGCCAACACGCTTAAGCGTTTGGCCCTAAGACTTATGGATGGTCATAGCAAAGGCAAGTACAGGAAATTGTCTACGTTTCAATTGAAACGGCAACGCTGTGCCGTGGCAACTTCACCCCATTGGCTAGTACAGTTACGCAAGCGACCAATAAACTATCGGAGACAAACAGACACTTATGCCGCATATATATATATGGGGTGAAGTAACGTCATCTCCTCCGAAACGGCTGGCTCCCGGGCTTAGCGAAGCACACCGTTGGATTCCGCAGGTCCGTGGCACGCCATTTCGACCATTCGCGTCTCTTCTTAGGACTTTAATTAGCCGAGATATTAATTAAAACTAATTTTTCCCTGCGTTTTCCACTTTCTTTCTTGGGTATTCCCTATTAGAGGGATTTCGTTACGTGCCAAATTCTTTTTTCTCGAATATCTATGGAACGGCGCCGAGTTGAAATTCGAGACGCGTATCTTCGGATTCAAAAAATTCTCTGAATCCATCGATATCGTTCTCATCTTAGTACGATTTTAATCGGCCGAGATATTAATTAAAAACTGCGAAAACGTTAATTTGCGCGCTCATTTTTCGAGTGGCAACAATAAACTATCGGCGACAAACACTTCGCTTATAAGATTTTTATATCGGACACTAAAACAGTATTTTTCCTTGTCGCGAAGTGAGAACTGAATTAATTGAATGAGAAATACTCAATCGTCTGTGAAAAACTGCCTCTTTTTTGTTTTGTTCGCTTAATTTCTTTTATACATTGTTCTAGCTTTATTATAGTATTTGAATAGAACATGTGGCAACGATTAGATAATTCTTTAAATGATACAAATTTTGTGCATTCTGAAATATAATATGAACGAAATATAATACTGTTAAGTGAACCTAGCGCCAGAGTGTCGCTATGGTAAACATATAGAGTGAATTTTAAAGAATGCAATTATTCTATTGTGGTTTATGCGCTGTCGGCGAAGTAGATATAATCAAATCCAATAAGTTTAAACAAAATGCAAGAAAAATGCGTATAATTTAATATTACGTACAAGGAAGTCATGTGATGTACACTTCAGATTTTTTACTAAAAGCTTTCTTATCATTATCTTGAAATAAAAATTTATGATATCATGAAATGAAAAAGAAACATGAAAATAGAAACGAAAACCTCCGACTGCTATCTTCTTTTAGTAAATTCATCACTAAGTAATGATCAGTTTATCAAACTTTATGGAATATTTATGAAACTGCGCAAGCAAATGAAGAAATTCATTTTTAATGTAAATTACGTACTCGTAATCAAGAAATAAACTAAAATTTCATGAGCAGACTTAAAACGATTTTAGATGTGCAAATGCCAAAAGAATACAATTCTTCTCCTCGCATCCGTATAGTTCGCTATAGTAGAGTATCGTACGAAACCTCTTTAAAACAGGAGTGGTATGAAAACAAAAAGCAGTTACTTTTAATTTATATGAAAAACATTTTTGAGATTCCCTGGCTTCCAAAATATTTGTAATTTATACGCAGTCAGTATAAATAGAAATGATATTTTGTAAATTATAGTTTTACTTTCTAAATTTAAAAATACAAAGAAATACTTTGAAGGCTTAAAAATGTTACATTAATAATGATGCGTTGAACTATTCCTAGAAGATTCATTAGTATGAGACACGAGTGTTGAAGTATAAGGTGTGAAAGAGAAAGGTTGAATATAAAGTTATCATCTTTTTCTCCCTGTTAGGTTACTAAATTTGAATTCTAAAATCTCCTTGTTCCAGTGGCAAAAATGGACTTAATCATTAGATTGGCTGACATAAAAAGCATAAAGAAGATTGATAAGTTTTTTCTCTGAAAAATTGCCCTAATCATGCGTGAGCTTTCACCATCAAAGCTCTATATCAAAGTTACCTAATTATTCACAACAAAAACTTTTTTCTTGACTTACAAGGCACCTACATTTAGAACTCCAGACCCAATTGTGGCATCAATCTTAAGAAAATGTATTTACTGTTAAGATGGATATCGAATTCGAATACTTAAAGAGAAAAAAATTCGTTCCATCTTATAATGAATGAAATATTTTCTAAATATTTTTGAAGATGATCGCTATAATAACAACGCTATTCTTCTGTACTTGCAAACAAATATGGTAGTTAATTTTTTTCAAATAGCAGTTTCAAAAAATAAAATTCCAGTACGCTACTTGGCATTAAATGTCAAAGACCCAAAAGTCATAACTAATGACTTACGCTTAAAAGCCAAAGGAAAAAGAACTGGTGAATTATAAAACATTAATATCATTCATTACATTCAGTCTACAGTGTTCTGACTCATAGCTCTGACTCATGGTTCTGACTCATGGAACTGTGGAAAAGTGTTTAAATAGCTTACGGCAGCTCAAGACACGGGTGAAAGAAATACTACAGAGGGGATCCGAAAATGTATGTCCTATCTGGGAAGGAAAATATATATCCAAATGTATTTATATATCCAAAAAATATGCATGTTATTTCAGAATCTTGTTGCCAGCGATCTATGCAGTAAACTATTTGGTCAAGCTTTCAAAATTTCAAGGGCTCAAATGGCATTGACCCAACAACATCTGGACTCTGAAATAAAATGGAAAGGGGGCTTGAAAAGCCCCAATAGCATACATGAAATGGAACTGTCAGCCACGAAAGCTGCCATCAACATTGCTTCAATAAAAAACTTCTCCAAAATATATATTACCTCAAACAACCAAGCAGCCTTACTGTCCACCCGAAATTCAGACAATCTTTCTCACCTGGCAAATGAAATTAATCAAGTCTTTAATGATCTCCATGCTGAAATAACCATTAAAGGGCCCAGCGGCAACGTTGGCAACGATACTGCCGACAATCTTGCGAATGAAGCAGTTTTTTCCCAAAAAGGCAAATTCTTCAACATCAAGCTTCCGAAATCGAAACTAAGACAACTCTTAAACAAATAATCTAAGCCCCGAGTAGCAAGAACAATGGAATGACGCCACAACAGGCTAAAGCACCCACTAGTTCTTCCCAAAAATCAGCACAGAATTCAAAAGCTACAAGTCTTCCTAACTTATCACTTCACATGGCACAGCCCTTATCCAGATTATTTTCATAAAAATGAACTTCTCTAATAGTGACAATTGTTTCTATGTTGTCAAATAAGATGCAGACCATTACCTATTCTTCTGCCCTCTTACAAGTGAGCTGCCCATTCGAATAACCTGTAATCTAGACCTTAATTTCAAAACGACTGGTGATATCTCAACATCAACTATGTCAAAAGAAGAAAACCACAAAATTGCACCAAAATCTCAGTGTTGTAGGACTCGAAATATGCTAAGTCGCACCTTAAGACCGAAAACGAAAGAGTAATGACTAGTCTTACACACCCAATAAATGATTCCGAGTAACGTCAATAACTTTCATAATGCTTCAAAACATCAAACGCATTGAGGTGAGGCCTGAACTTTATTTATGAACTCTATCTGAGCTCAGTACAGTCTAACCAGTAACAAATACCCTCACATAGCAAGAACTAGACATTCCATTATATTATCAATATCAAATCCCGTATGTTTATCTACTTACATAAAAATGTAAAAATTCCAGAGCAGCAATCTCGAAAGTTTCAATTCTATTGTATTTTACGTAATCCAATATCATAATGAGTTTAGTTAAAAGTTTGTGTTATGTGTCTTTGTCTAATTTTATGTTATTATCCTCTTACGTTTAAATGTGCACAACAACTCTAATGTATAATTCCAATGTTCTTAGGAGAAAAAGCGTACAATCAATTCCAATTTTTCAAACTTACGCCCATGCATCTTTTTCCCATGCACTTTTATTTGTTTACCCGGTTCAGGAATATTACATATGGCTTTATATTCCAGAAAGAGAAATTTTAAAAAAATTTTAAACCCTCGGAGAATCTACGAAAACATTTACTTATGGCAATCGAATGTTATTTACAAAATGTGCCCGAACTTCTAACAACTTTTTAACATTAAGACACAATAACACGCCGAATAAATGCTAATTCACAAGTCAAACAACAAAAATCAGCGTTATATTTTCAAAATTTTCACAGGGCTGTGAAAATTTTGAAAATATAACGCTGATTTTTGTTGTTTGACTTCTGAATTAGTAACTTTTCACCATATTAACTCCAAGCGACAAAGCAATTGTTTGCATAAATGAAAATTATATTCTTTGAACAAGATAATAATTTATTAAGAATTATCTTTTGAACAGAAGATAGTATAAGTAAATTTTCTCAAAACTACTATTCCCATCCATTTTGTACATTTAATTAACATATTACCACCTCGAAAACTGAGCACATATCTGTGCAGTGTTTCAGAAAGCTTCTTCCTTTCTCCTAACTTTTAAATATTTTATTCCTCATAAATTTACAGGTACAATTTTGTGTACATTTTATCAAGAATTTTTAAGTATTCTGATTAAGGCAACTTTATTTATAACAAATTTTGAAGGAAATTTTTCGAATAAAAATTGAATTCCAAGTCCTTCTTTCAAAGAGAAATCTAAAGCAAATTCTTTGAAGCTCAGTTCTTGCCACTGAAATAAACTAAATTTTTCTGGTATGCATATTCATCGGGGTTTTGGCTTCAAACGCATAAAAATTGAGATTGTATTAATTTTGGACATGTGCATGTTACTAGAATATACGTTTATATTTATTTAACAAATTATTATTTTGTTTTCTGTCTCTAGCTGAAGGAGAATTTAGGTGATAATTTACCACCTCAATATACTGATGCACATCTTTTGGGATTTTTAAGAGGTAAAATTCTAAATTTAGTGAAATTTTTACATTTATTTAAAAATTATTATAATATATTTTGCAAAAAAATCTGATTTAAATTAAAAAATTTTATTAATTATTATCCTTTATTTATTTTCATTAATAAATTAAATTTTTAATTTATTTTCAATAATTTTAGCAGAATGGTCACACTGGGCGCTTATGGCTTTGAACTATCGCTTATGAGACATAGGAGGGTAGTGGCTGGTCTGCTCTCAGAATTCTGGGGAGAAAAAATTCATTCTTTTTTTAAAGTTCTGAAAACTTTTATATTTATTTTTTTATTTTTTTTATTTTTATCATTTGCTGCATGCATATACCTATCTTTTTGTTAATTTTACAAAACGTGGAAACTTCGCAATTCAAAACCTTTGAAATATATGCATGTGAGGATAACGTAAATTTAAAACATTAAATTTATCGAAAAAAATAAATTTTTATTTGCTTACATTCGTTCTAAACGAAAACAAAGAATTTATCCATTAGACCCAGTAAATTTTAAACTAAATTATATCAGTTATACTTTAAACTGTTTGAAGTTTAATTCAATATGAAATTGAAACTAAATCAATATCTAATTAAATTATGAAACTATTGATTTCAAATTAAAGATCAGAAATACCAAATTCAATTGAAATTTTGCTTAAATATTTCTTTTCTTGCAGCAAGATCTTTAAATGTCAAAGAAGCACAAAAGCTCATGAAAATCGTAAGTTGATTTTCCCTATTTGTTATGTATTTTTCCTTGAGTAGAAATTAGTTGTGTATCTTAAATAACAACAGCTGATAAAATTTTGAAAAACAAAACATAATAGAAAAGGTTTAAATAACGGAAAATTTAATTTTAGAAACATTTTAGAAAAAGAAATAAAGAAAATGTTAAAAATACAGATATAGCTTATACTTTGCTGATAAGAAATAGCTAATTACATTGTGCAATGGTTTTCCTTTACTCGCTATATAATATTTAAAACCTTTCAATAAATATTATTTTAAACTTAGTCAAAACGGGCTTGTTGCATCATTATGCTCGCGTATTTATTAATTCTTACTAAAATCTAATTGTTTAGAAAAGCATATGCAATGTTGAGCTCTGTTCAAGTTCCGGAATACTCTTAAGGGGCCTTTTGATCTTAATGCTAGATCTTGGGTCAAAAGAAAAATTAGAAAATCGTGGTATTTTAACTGTGAATAAGATAAACACAATGTAGGAATGCTTTGGATTAAAATGCAGTTGGTATAGGTTTAAACAATTAACAAATTAACAGTCATTCATTAAAAAAATGTGCTTTCTAAAATTTTCAAAAATAATTTATACTCGAATTCAGAAAGCAAGTAGACAAAGTAGACTTCTGTAGTATAAGGTGCAAAACTATGTGTCTTGAATAAGAAGAAATAAAGCATACAGCTTCGGTACTTTTCTAAACCCGGCTTTCAGCATGTGGAAAGTTATGGTGGTGGTTTCCCTTAGAAAGTCCTCAACGAAAGAATGCCTTCGTGGAGGACTTTCTAAGGGAAACTGGCTCGTATACACGTTCACATAGGGAAAACCACAAAAACGCCCATGCAGTCATGCCCGTTCGCGGGATTCGAACCTCGGACCGAACTACCAGTGTCAGCGATTTTACCGCTCGGTGGGCCTGTGGAAAGTTATGAGTCTTGGTTTATGAAAAAATTTCACAGAATTATGTCTGTCTCAATGTTAGATACAATTTATGTATAATTTTAGTAACTGTTTCAAGAATCAAAATATTTAGAAGATGCACATTTGAAATATTTATTTAAATATTTTTAATTTTTATAGTACTGCTCCTCAGTATACAAGGAATTCATGAGATGCAGTCTCAACTTTTAATTTTCAGATCTGTCGTCTAAGACGAAGTATAATCAATGTATGAAATAGTCATCAGAAATTCTAACTAAACGAAGAGTCATGAATAATAATCTGATGATTGAGTTTCTCTGATTTAAACTTTTAAACCCACTTTTTACTTCCTTGTACGAATTAAAGGAAGTATTGTAATAACGAAAATTTTCGGGTATGATACTTCGAAGAAAATATCCATTTCGATAGCTCTCGAATCCATTTGAACCATGTTTCTGTGTGACGTTTGTACGTACGTACGTACAGAATAAAACTTTTCTTTTCCCAAAATGGATTTCAAATGGATTCAGAAGAGATTTTTTCTTGACGTCTGTACGTACGTAGGTATGCATCTCGCAAGAGTCAAAAAAGAGTAGCGTAGAGCTTTGAAATTTTGTATTGGGACTGCTATAACATCTAGTAGTGCACCTCCCTTTTTCGTTGCAATCGGCAACACCAAACGCGTATATACACTACGTTACCCGGCTAGGTGAGCTTAGGGTTTTTTTTTCATATATGTTGGTAAATTGTACATTTTTTGCTCTAAAAGTGACTGAATGATGCTGTTTTTATGTATCACTTAAGATTTCCATGCCTTTAGTGTTAATCTGCATGCATTAGTCATTTAATTATCATCAATTGAAAGTTTAAGTGACGAATTAAGCCTAACGAGGCCGCCATATGTTTACATTTGAAACTCTTAGTAGAACATTGAATTAAGTCAATTGGTGCACGAACTTCAGTGTCTTTTTGCCCAGTGGAACCAAAAGTTAACTTTCAGTTATGTGCACCGAAAAATCTGATATCCTGCCTGCTGGCCAAATTGCTTGTTCAGGCATAGAAACTGTAATTTTCATTGTAAAAACAAAATTAATATAGCAGCTATTTATTTTCATTTAAAACTTAACAGGATAGTCAATTAAGTCAGTTTCTGCACCTTCAGTGTCTTTTTGCCAAAAGGAAGCTTTCAGTTTTGTGCATCAAAAAATCTTCCTTCCTGACCGTTGGCCGAATTGCTTGTTTTTTAGCAGAAACTCTAATTTCAATTGTAAAAATTGTTTTCTTAACTGTTTTAACTTGGTGTTTTACGTTTTTCCGTATTTTACAATTTTTAATGAAGATGTTTAGAGTTTTTATGTATTTTGGCCTTGCCACAAAGTGAGAACTAAGTTAATTGAATGCGAAATATATCTCTAATGAAATTCGAGGAATGAAGTTTAAATGAAAAGCAGCAAATATGTATAATTTAATAGAGGGTACAAGAAAGTCATGTAGTGTTCACATCATCTATTTTTGCTAATTTAAATATGACGGTTGCCAAGTTCTATGTTTGCGATAATGCAGAATTTAAAAAAAAAAAAAAAAAAAGGAAAGAAAGAACAGAAATAAACGGCACACAAATGAAGAAACGAAACAGATTGTTGTGCAATTTCATAACATTTATGATTTATTCATCATTTTGCAGGATTTTTTTTTGTCTTTTAATATTCTTTGATTGAAAAACAAAATCTTTTTTACGAATTCAACTATTTGATATTGTTGTTGTTTTTTTGCGATGAATGAATATGAAGATGTATAGAACAGAATAAGGAACATATTTAACTCTGCTTAGGATTCTCTGTTTAGGATTTAACTCTTCTTAACTCTGCTCCACTACTTAAGGCAAATTTTGATAATGTGTGATAATGTTGTCTTTTATCAGAAATTATTCAAAAGTTATTCTAAGAAGTCCTTTTGCGTGCAAGACCCAATAATTCCCTGACAGCAAATTTGTATAGCCAATGAAAATCGAACTAGCGGTTTCTGCTTTATCAGGTACAAGGCCATTGATGCGCTTTAGTACCTATGTTCAGATTTAGAGACCTACAAAATATTAATTTTCTTTTGTGAACATCTTTGTTAATGTATTAACATTCACAGGGTTACAGCATTTTCCACTACGTTAACTGCCACGGCACTTTTCGGATTCCGGTCCGAGAAGCCAAATCGATTTAATCATATTAAATTATTAAAAATACTAATTATGATTCGTAACAATCATTAAAATGTTTACAGGACTTTTTTTTTTTTAAGTGTTTTACGAATTATCTCGTAGTCGGCTTTTGTTAGACAAAACTCTTCGCAGAATCCTACTACGAGTTGATTTGTACAGACATGTCTCGACTTGTCGCTTCGATACAGCTAAAACAAGCGCTAAGCGAGTAAGTAACTTGTAGCGACGCAAAAGTGGCAAGTCAAGAAACTACGAGATAACTCGTATTTGGCGCCCTGAAGAAGAGCGCTAATACGAGTTATCTCGTGATGGGCAGTCAACGTGTTAACTTACTATTATAGCGCAATAAGACTAAAACTTAATCTTCAGTCTTCAGTAAAAACAATGGCATAAATATCTGGAATAGACTAAACCAGCACGGCTAACCGACGTTTTGTCCTATAAAAAAGAAAAGATCCGAAGAATAGAAGCTATTGAATATGCTATGTTGAAAGACAAGAAAGAGTATTATTCAAATATTTGTTTTCTTCTTCCTATTTCAATTTTATTTCTGATGTTTGAAGTATAGTTGAGAATTTTCCATTACACATTTTTTCACCAATGAAACGTGCATGATAGGCAGTTCACGTCAGATCGTTAGTTTAATGATGAATGTCAGTTTGCTAAAAGAGATTTATTTAAGTCATTGTTAATGGCACTTTGATAGCTTTGTTTATGGAAGATCCTGAGATTTCCTTGTTTTTGACTTTAAAAAATGTAACTGCGCATAACTCTGAAACGTAAACGATTTTGAAAGAAAACTAGTTGTAAGCTGTATGAAAAACCAATTATATTTCTTTAAATTCAATAGTTAAAATAAGTAATATTACTTGTTTAATATTTATTTTATATGCTTCAATATTCATAAAATTTCCATGTGATCAGTCTGCAGTGATATAATTTCCTTATTCGTTCTTTATGTATAGAGGACCAGGAAAACCATTAACGGAGTAATAATCATTAATTAATAGCATCAATTGACGATATGCTGATAGATGTGTATTGCTGTATAGATTTGAATGGGATTTTTATGAATAATTCCGCGAACATCCGCGAGAATATATAGCACAGTTTCCTTATTCCACTCCAATTCAATTCTTAGTGTTACGAGTAATTTCAAATAAATTTCCTTGAAACTTCTGATTTTGTTCAGAAATGATTGCAAAAAAAATTTACTCTTTGTATCCATCAGTGCCATTTTAAACTTCGTTTCCTTAGTGTTTTCCGTTTTTTATTTTTTATTTTTGTTTTTGTTTTATTTCTAGGATGGTAATATGCGTCAATTCCTGAGAGCTGATGCAATTTTAGATGAATATGAACCTTCTGAGGTAAACAATGCATTATAAATATTCAACTTATCAAATGTTAATTTATCAACTTTTCTTTTAACTGATTATTTTTATTCCAGGCCCAAAGAACTAAAAAAAATAACCTACTACTTCAAGCATAAATTCATATACTAATCCTGCCTCAAAATGCATGTAATTTTAGGTATGAAAAAAAGAGTTTTGGATGAGGCAGTCTAATGAAACCTCGATGATAAGTCGTTGTCGAGTTGCAACAGAATAAAAAAAAATTAAACTGGTCTTGAAAATTTTCTCATTAAATTTAAAATTTAATCTAGAGAGAGAAATAAATAGTTTATTTAGTAAAATATCAATTTTGTTTCGCTTTAAAATAGGTATTGATTCAACATTAGTTGCATGCAGAATTAAAAATAAAAATACTTTCTTAATTTTATGCAAAATGTACAGCCTTTATCTACTACATCATTCAGAAATGGAATTCTTAATACATCTACAGCTGTTTTCTCCTTTGGTAGATCATTTTCATTTACTCTAACCAATCCAAAATAATAATAGGTATAAAAACGGAAAAAGAAAATGCTGTTTTGACCTTTTCGAAATATTTCAGCTATTGGGTGTTAAAGGTAATTTGTGGGAAGTTAGAAGAAAACTTCTTATCCTAATTTACATTAATTTCATTCCGTTCTTCTTTTCTCCGGTCGTTTGATTCTTGAAAGAACTACAGACCTCTCGAAGCAATAATAAGAGCCATATCATCATAATGAACTTTTCATTCTTTTCTAACGCCTCGTCTTTCATAAAGCAAACTAACTACCAGAATTTAACTGTAATTTTACAGCAAGCCTGTTGAGAGATTAGGTATTTTTGAAAGCAAGAGAGGCGAAAAATGTGCAGTGCCCTCGCCGAGACTCGAACCACGGACCTCTCGACTATGCGCCAAGTGTGCTAACCAATACACCACGAAGGAATGCTAAGAAGGCGGAAGAAATACCTTGTAATCTTACTTCATTTCAGAATTTAAGGATACAATTACGTTTTGGAAGCTAAATGGTTTTTAACAAACAAGTTAACAGTAACAGAATTATGCTGGAGTTTCAAAGTAAGCGGAGTTTTTGTTTCAAAAAATAGGTCTCATTATTTTGTTCATTTATTTATTACTTCACTTTTCCAACGGCCTTTCGTGGACTGTTAACAGTTTTACTTCGGAAATGAAGTCACATTTATAGCATTCCGAGTAGATGTGCTACCACACCAAACTGGAGAATCCATCGTATTAGAGTCGCATGTATGGTACGAATCCGCTCAAAACGAACGATAAAGACCACGATAAAGTGTCCAAAAAGCAGAGTCGTAGCTAGGGTTTTCAGCGCCCAGGGACAACTGAAGATATCGCTCCCCCTACTGCTTGCCAAGAATGGAAAACGTTTAATTCTAAAATGTCGTAACATCAGTTTGGCGCCCCTTGGATTCTGCTCCCGGAGACAGATGCCCCCCTTTCCCCCCTCTAGCTACGTCCCTGCCAAAAAGGTACTGCATTTCAGATTTGCAGGTGAAAAGTCTGCTCCACATGATTAATAGCAATATTGCTAACCCCCCATATGTACCCAAAACAGGTTGTTCTTCTCTGCCTGGAAAAGGGCTATGCCATTTATCTGGTTTTAGTCGCTCAGTTGAGACATACATTTCAGAAATGGCATCTTAGTTTTTTACCTAAAAGAGCTCATTCCGCTGCCCGACACTGCGCTACATATTGTTATAAAGTATTAGTGTTATAAAGTACTAAAGCTAAACAAACTGGCAAACTTAAATCAACCGGGCTAATCATTCACAATGTGATATTTTGTGGCTGGTGATTTTACAAATCGCCTAAAGACGTCAACCCAAATCGTGCGAATGACGTGTAAATGGCTCTATTGAGCTGTATACTACAACTAACAGATCTCTACCAGAAAAATTTCTTTGATTTTCCTTCTGAATAAACGTTTCTCTCTGGCTTTGATTTCTTCTAAATGCAATAAACCTACACACAACTTCTAAATGCATTCACACAACGTTTTGATCCCTTTTATACTTCAAAGTAGGTTACTGCTTGGAAATGAAAAGTCATTCTGCTAGATTCAAAAGATTATTTGTCCCATTTAAGTCCAGATTGTCGACGCTTAAGAGAAAAGCGTCAACTTGTGAATCCTCCCCCCCCCTTAAAAAAAATAAATTATGCAAATTAATGACTGGAAAAAAACCTGTCTGTTTGATTATTTATTATTTTTTGCTTTACTTGCATTAATCATCATGTATTATTACAACTGCTCTTTTTATGTATTTTAATAAATGTGTTTCAATTAAGCATAAATAGTAACTAGGTCACACTTTAATTTTCAGCTGAGTTTTAGTTCCCTTCTTCAACTGATTTGTGTCTTTTTTAATTAAAGCATTTGACGTCAGTATCACAGCAGAAGTATACATTGTGTAGAATGTTACGAAATAAATAGATATCCTCTTCCGCTTAGTATATGACACACTTTTTTCAAATGGGCTGACATTAAGATTTCAAATTTGTTATAACTGCATACCAGTTTTTGTGAGAAATCTTTAAAGATGGGACGAAGCCTTAAATTTTCTCGAACCCAAATCCGAAAAGTTTCTCGAATCTTTCGAATTCCAAATTTCTCTAATAAATCATCCAGTAAACAAAAATAATGAAAGGATAAAATAGCTTTTACCTAATATTGAAAGTTTTTAATTAAAGCAAGATTTTTAATCTGCATTGATTAGAAAATCAATTTAAGAATTCAGTTTAAATATAAGGGTCAAATGAAATATATAATTGAAACATTTAAACCTTGAAAATATTTTCTCTCTATTATTTTACAAAAAAATATATATATAATTTTTTTCTTCCACTTTTATGGAACACTTTAAAATCGGAGCAAGTGTAGAAGCGAGATGATTATTTCAAGGCCTAACCAATGTACAGTGGAACCTCGAAATACGAGCACCTCTACATACAAGAAATTCGAGATACGAGGAAAGTATGAGCGAAACATTTGTCTCCAAATACGAGCATTGACTCGAGTAACGACAATGAGCCAAGCTGTTGGTATGTGTGGCGCCATTTCCCGATCCGGCTCGACTCGGGTAATCCCCTCGTCAGATCACTCCGTGTTCTTTGATCTACATGTTTGTACGCTTGTGTGTTAATTTTTTTTTTTCATTTAACGTGAAATAATTCTTTTACGATGCCTCCCAAGAAGATTGTTGCCTCAGATAGTGCTCCAAAGAAAAAGAAGGAAGCCATAGCGTTGAAATTAAGAAAGATATCATAGATAAACATAAGCGTGATGTAAGAGGACTGCCTTCGAGTAAGAGTGACGGCCTTTCGACATAGACAATCAGCACTATTCTGAAGAAGGAAGAAATTAAAAAACTTGATGTGGGCAAAGGAGTTACCGTTACTTCCAAGCACCGTCCAAAACTCCTAGAAGCTGTTGTTGGTGTGGATTAACGAGAAGCAGTTAAGGTCAATCATTTATTGGAATTAAGACACAATAACACGCCGAATAAATACTAATCCAGAAGTCTAACAACAAAAATCAGCGTTATATTTACAAAATTTTCACAGGACTAGTTTCGATGGTTTTACCAAACCACCATCCTCAGCTGCAAAACCGCAAATAAACAAGATAGGAAATAATGATTAGATAAGATATGAAAGCCTGGACAAGAATAAGCAAGTGGCGCCATCTGTTGGTGAAACCAGAACTAAAATATAATTTCTTTAAAGGCCGAAGGCAAATTTGGATTGGAATTAGGATCGTTAACTAGAACAGAAACATTTTTATGAATGTGAAATGCCTCTAGAAAATCCAGTTCTCCAATGGAAGATGTTGCTGAGGATGGTGGTTCGGTAAAACCATCGAAATTAGTCCTGTGAAAATTTTGTAAAATAACGCTGATTTTTGTTGTTTGACTTCTGAATTAGCATTTATCGGAAGCTTTCATTTATTAGAAAAATTGGTTTTTATGTTGATGGGGGGAGTGCGGAACGGATTAACTGGATTTCCATTATTTTCAATGGGGAATTTTGTTTCTAGATACGAGAAATTTTATATACGAGCTCAATGCTGGAAAGAATTAAACTCGTATATCGAGGTTCCACTGTAAATACTAAGTGGAACACTAAATTCATTCCACAAATTAAAAGTTTACCACTAGAGACAAGCCATGATGTGATATTGTGGTCCAGGTACACACTGAAATTGCAGCTATAGCTTTCGTTTTTCGTGCTTCTATTAGACGTTAATAAAATTATTCCTTCTTAGGTCTTGAATTAAAACATTTAGTGAATTTTCAGATTAGAATTATGAGAAAAGAAGCTTGAAAGTTCGATTTTTCGAATTTTTTTTTTTTTTTTTTTTTTTTTTTTTTTTCAGCTTCGTCAAGTTCCAAGATCTGAAATGATACATTCTAGGATTTGAATGTCTTAAGAGAGTTATCTTAGTACCATGATAATTTGCATAATATTTTAATTTTTTTTATTTTGGAACTAAGCAATAAAAAGGTACTCCAAAGCTGTATTTCTATGTTATGCATGCTTCCAAAGTATTCTTTTCTATTGTGAAGATTTTGCTTTTTGATAAAGCATACATTTGAATTTTAAAAATATGTTACCATAATTTCTAGTTTAAAAATATGTTACCGTTTATGTTGCTAAATATTTCATAGAATTAAATCACAATGGTATGTTCATAATGTTTTTCGCATTTTCAAACATTGTCTTTATTTCAGACAAATATGCAGTGTAGCATTTCTGGTATGATCGGTTTTGATAAAGAAGGATCTCTGATAAGAGTGATAAATGTAGGCTATGGGGATTATAAAGGTAAATATTTCTTGTCAAAAGACATCAAAAAGTGTAATTAATAGATTTTAAACATTGTATTATAAATATTGCCTAGAAAACTGAAACGCTGAAATGCTTTAATTTTCTAGATTAATACTTCAGATTTCTATCAATCATATGCTATGTAAAATATTCTCTAAGACAAAACTGAATAAATAGCATAGTGTGTAATTTCCAAATTTAAGAATTTAATCGTTTTTTAAATTTTAAGTTTAAAGCAATTCAGAATATAAATACCCGATCAATGGATCATTTAATAATTGCTCATAAATCTATGCAGTTATTTCATAGCTTTGATGTATTGAAAAACTTGCTACAATAGTATTAAAGATTTGTAAGATCCTGCTATTTATTATAATTGTGTAAATTATCTCATTAACCCAGAGCAAGGACGAAAGAGTGTGTTACGTCACAAGCAACGCATTTCTTAATAATAACTCATTTCCATTTTCCCCAAATGAACCAAACCTATTTTACCCTCTGATCGGCAAGGCCGTATGAATACGGTCTAGAATATTTTTTATGGTATCTGTAAGAACGTATATATGCGTGCATCTTGAAATGTGTCCATCAAGTTAAGGCAGTAAACCGAAGGTATAAAACACCAGGGGCATTTGAGCATTGAAATCAAGAAAATACCTCTTTCTTATGGCAGATTTCAGAAATTTGGATTTCTTTAGTGAAACCACGTGTCGATCAGAAGGCTAAAATTCTAAATAATATATTGTTACTTTTTTCTCTTCCTCCGTTTTCTTCTGACACCAGTTGTTACGTCTCTTTATTCTTCTGACACCAGTTGTTACGTTATTTTCTTGCTTTACGTTCTTACGGGGTTCGTAGATTCGGAGTGAATAACGACGACACTTTATGAAGTATCGAAACACACTTTATTTACCAATATTAATCAGAACAGCTCCAAAACACTTTTACAGTGGTCGAAGATCTACAATAAACACGCTGGAGCAATCAGCGACACAGCCTTCACACTGTCAGGCAATAACTGCAACGCACCCGAGGACAGCTCCCAACTCTGCTTGGTCGTTCTCGGAACTCCACGTACTCTCGAGACTCTCCACGCTACAACTCACGATGCACTTGACGACTCACGAGCACAGCTTCTGACTCTTCGATTCAGTCTTTCCCGGAGCTCAACACGCTCTCGACGATGCACTAACCGCGATGCACTAACAGACTCCTTCAGTGGACTCGACGACCCACTCGCACTCGCTGCCCGGCTGTCACTCGATCGACTCCGCACGGATAGACTCGCTAGACGAGGCTCACACACTCTCGATGAGAGACACGCTTCCTCTCGATGAAGCACACCTTCTGACTGCAGACCAACATGGTTTATATAGCTTGTGTTCGGGAACATTCTGGACTAAACCGGTAAGAATTCGTTCCAGAAGGTTCTCCAACCGTCCATGGTATATCGCCAATTTTGTCGCCAAATGTGGCAACCCTGCTTAATACATTTAATATTCATAAAAGATAAAAGATCGCAGTAAAGTCATTTTACCATTTCGGCTAACTTCTGTCTGATGTGATGTTCGGCATTTTTTGTGCATACTTGTATTAGTATTTTACTTCAATAACATGCATAAGAAAGATATCTAGATATTTTACTCATGAAATGAATCGTCTACAGACTTTGTTTGTGTAATTTTGAAAGGATAATTAATTAATAATTGATGATAGTTAATTAACCATAAGATAATTAGTTAATTAAACTGTGTTTAATTTATGATTCATAGATAAAAGCGCCATCCTCATCGACAAAACTTGGTTTACGAATTTGTTTAGAAACATTGATTGAATAATATTTCTACCCAAATTACCTGATTTAAATTTCGTAAAGGATTTTCGGAACACACTCGGAAAACCTTACCGCAATGCAAAATTTTCCTTATTTAAGTCTCAAAGTCATCCTACTGGTGGACAAGTGATACTTAGTCCTTAAATTCCAGTTAACTACCTGTTAATGTCTTATAACATCTTGTATGCTTGCTATCATAAACTGAGCTCGACGTTAGAAAACTGTTTAGAGAATAATTCCTAAGTACTACGAAGACAGGAGAATGGCGTAAAGAAGCCTTTATTAACTCAAATAAAGTTCACAGGTGTCACTTACTCGTGCTTACAAAAACCAACACTTTTGGCTTAGCTCAAAAGGTAATGAATAACTTAAAATTACATGAAATTAGGTTTAACCTAACAGCTTCACATGCGAATTATTGCGCAAGTTGGCTCTGACTCGACGAAAAGTCGGCGGAAACAAGCCTAATTACGAAAATAGCTCAACAGAAATCTAATCGCTAGAAAATCAATGATAGCAACGTGGCCTTCTGGCAGGCAGAACACGCTCTGATTTTACCTTTCAGAACCTTCCCTTAAATACTAACTTCTATCTACCTCATCTGATTACACTGCGGCTAGTCCATTTGTATTCTGGCAAGAAAGTGAAAGTTAAAAGCTAGAAATGTCGCTCAAACATAAAATAACCGTTAAGTAAATTAAAGAAGTCCCCACAATCTTTAAAACCCATCTTCACATCAACGTCTTAGATAGTACATAACCTACAGGCATCAGAAAACTGCAGTTGATTTTCATATTATCCACTTTTTCCTAAAATTCTTTAATATATTTTTTAATCTGCAAGTCATTATATAAGTAATTTAAACAAGTTTCATATAAAATATCTTTTATGCAGAATTAAGTAAATATTCTAGAAACAGTTAAATATCTGTAATCAAAATTCCTTGATAAATTTTAAAATTTCCATAAAAATAGTAATTTAAATAAATAATAAACCTAACCTGAATATCAATATTTTTTATCGAACAGTATTTAGAAATAACTCTTAACGAAGTAAAATAAGTGTGAAAATTAAAGAATGTGCATGCTTTCAAATGTACAAATTCGTAAAACAAAAACTTCTAAAACAAAGTATAAACATTCTCATAATAGTTGCTAACGGATGTCCTCAGAATGTGAGGCTGAGCGAAGTCCTCAACACTCTAAGAATCAACATCTTCAGGATAACTTAGCATATCTCGAGACATAGCGATTTAAACAAGACACCCTCAGGATGTTAAATTACGATGTTCTCAAGACCATCTGAGAATCAACACTCAGGATATACTAAGTGTGTCCTAGAATGTTGCGACTTTAATAGAACGTGCTGAGGATATTCTGTGCTATGGGTAATATTACTGAAAACTTGGCTGTTTTGTAATACATTTTTCTCATACGCGTTCAAAATCGATTTTCCATTTTGTGTTTGTATCTTATGCTGCCATACATCACCCCAAATACATTCATTCAGTTTTAATCATCAGGTTTAGAGAAATCAGTGCTTCTGTTCATGTAAAAATAATTTTAGACGCTAGCGTAAAATGCATATTTGGAAAGTTTCTAAGAGCTCAACGATTAATATTTTGATAAATATACTTCCTGCTTAAAATCCTGACTACACACTTCGGCAGTTTTAGTATGGTATTCAAAGTGCTTGAGCTAAAAAATACTGAAAATCGCTATCGTTTGGATACACGACAATCTTGTTGAAAGATCAGAACTTGCTGAGTCAGAATCACGCAAAAATTTTGATGTCAATGAACTTTTATTTTTACGAGCAAAAGAAAACCAGTTTTGACCTTAGTTTATATTTATACCCCTTTAAGAAACAGATAAGATTAATACTTTTCTTCACCTATTTGTTATTATCTCCTTTATCAGACGCGTGAACGTTTGGAACTCAAAATGTGAGATCACTGTGGCTTTAAGCTGTTTTTTTAAGGAAGAAAACAATTCTTAATTCGATAATAAATTCTTATTCGGCCATCTTTTTCGCTAAATAAATATATTTACGTTTATCGCAATTTTGGATGCAATTTCGTACACATTAATACTAAAACTGTAAATTTTGATGAGTGATCTGTGATAATCTAGCAGTAATTCTACAAAACTGATTTGGTAATTTTGCAGATTTTTGTTTCAGATTTTGTAAATTTTGTTAAAATGTGTTTCTAATACTTAAATTTAGTGATAAATTTATTCTTCAATGTTAAGAATTGTAATGCTAAAAGGCAAATAAATGCACTAAATTCTGCCATACACGAAATTAAAAGGATAAGTAAAAGAATCTAGTTCATCTTGGGGCTCAAAAGAGTATTTACAATTCAAATCTTTTGTCATTTATAAAACTATATAAATACACAAAACCCTTTTGTATATTTGGATAATTCTGAATTAACAGAAAGAATATGTATGAAGTCCTTATTTGAAAAATAAATTTTGGATGATTGAGATTCTAATAAACTAGCGTTGTAAAACTTTAATGAGCTACAAAACAACGCATTTCAAAATTTTACCTTAAATATTTCAAAAAATATTTACAAATTAAAGAAATGGGTATATAATTTTCATAACCGCTAATTACAAGATTTGAAAAATTATGTTTAATAATTTTTGCTTTTTTTTTTCCTTGTCAATGTTTGTACACCTGTGGGATTCCTCACAGTGTTACAGCTGAGTTACAGTTGAACGTGAAGAATCTAAAGAACTGATAAGCGAATAAGATAGATAATTAAATAATAATAAAATAATGTAAGAAAAGAGAACAAACTAAAAAAGGCCTTTGTGGTCAAGAACTTTGCGCATTGAGCTGCAAAATTTAGAAAACAAATTAAAAGAAAATTCTTAATCTTTACGCTAAAAAGTAGCTTAGATACTGTGGTTCCGGTGACAATTTTATCATAAATATAATTACTAAATCTCTTTCAATAATTTTCTAAATTTAGAGGTTGCTTCGTAGTTAATATTTTGCATGTATTTTCAGGCTTTATTCATTCTATTTCAACAATTGAAGAGTTCAAGATTTTCATCTGGTCAATACAGAAAGATTCTATGCTTCAAGCAGAAGAATGTAAAAAGGTAAAAAGTATGCTGGTTGATATTATGTTCTTAAACAAAACGATTTTGTCATTAAAAACAATTACGCAACTCAGCTTCAATAATTATTTCTAATCTCCAAACTAGTATAAAAGAGTACAGAATAAATTTTAGTTCACCAATATTTTAAGCAATGAATACGTTTTATATTTTTAATTAAATACCTTCAATCCCGTTAGCGTGCTAAAAATTTTCAACCTTTAAAAAACATTCGTTATCAAAAACTTACCTCATTAAAATTGCTATTTAAAAGTCACTAATAACACTACCTAGATCTCCATCATTAGTTTGAACAAGTTTGATTCAATAAAAATGGTATAATGATATTGCAGATCATTTATTTCAGTTCATTTTAATTTTCATTAAATTTGCCAGTAATTTCATTCAGTTTATGGGATGTATGTGGTTTTGGTTTGGTTTATTTATTTATGGCAGAGCACTCGAAGGCTATCTGCCTAAGAAAAGGGATGCCTTGCAGAGGACTTTCTAAGGGAATCTGGCTCGTATACATGTTGCATCTGGGGAAAACCATGAAAAGGCCCACGCAGGCAGCCCGTTTCATTCGAACCCCGAACCGAACTACCAGTGTTCAGTGACTTTACCATTAGACGGCCGATGGGCAGGCCCATGAATGTAATAGATGTACCAGTTAAAATTATTTCCTAACGTTTGCTAACCGTAAAATTTGCGATTTTTAATGGTATTCTATGTTTTCATTCAACTTTTTTCTCTCAAATGAATTTCTAAAATGAAAATTCGTTACATTGAGATATTTATTCATTTAGCATAAACATAATAAAGAAATGTTACACAAAAATGAAAAATTATTTCTCCCTTTCTACCTCAGATCTTCCAATAAATAAAAAGAAAAAAGGGGAAAAAATCTGAAGGCTTTCAGATTTTACATTACGCCCAGAGGGGCGTTTTTTAACGTTTTGTGAGTTATCTTTATTTATTAAATATCATGTTCTTCGCACTTAAATTCGCACCATAAAATTCAGTTCAAGAGCAATATCGCAAAATAATTTTAAAATCAGCATATCTTTAGAATTTCGGATACATAATCTTGCGCGCTGGAGATAATTTTTTTTTTTTTTTTTTTTTTTTTTTTTTTTTCCCCTCATACAGCCATTGCTCTCTTTAAAATCTTTAAAATCGTTAAGTTTGTGAACCAAAAATTCGTTAATGTTTTACAAAATGTGAAATAGATAATAAAACAAATTCCAAATTCCAAATTTGGGCTTTCACGTGCCTATATTCGGGTGGAAACGTGCGTTATTCAAAACTGGATGGCTCTAAGTACAGTCGTTTTATCACAATGGGAGAAACATATATGCTTTTATGCAGATTCTTCATTATTTGATGTCTTTAAATATAATACAGCACTGTAACATCTAATGGCAACAGTTTGAAAAGTGAACCGACATTTAAAGTTTTCAACGCCAAAAGCTCTTTTGGCGTTGAAAACTTTAAATGTCGGCCTTTTGGCGTAGCCCCTTCTGGGCTAACGCCCTTTGGGTTAAAAAAAAGGGAGAAAACAGAAAATTTGCATAAGATAATTATTTCAGGTAAAGCTGTATTAAAAATTGGAGTAAACTTAAGAGCGAATATTTTGTTATTTGGGGTCCTCTTTTGCTTATTAGTGTTATGTAACATGAAATTTCTTCCTGCAACAGTAAGACAATAACATGTGCTACCCATTCAAACTAAATTTATATATCAGGTAAAATGAACGTAACCGGTTACTTTGTTTAACTCTACAGCAGTTATTCTCTACCTATTTTGATGCACACCTTTAACAGTTGTTAGACCATTCCCCCCTCCCTCTTTTCAAATACACGAAAAATATGTATATAGTTATTTAGATTTAGAATATTTTTAACATGCTTTTATAAATTAAATAACAAAAAAGATTAGAAAATGTTGATAAATATCAAAACTTAAATTATTTCTTATATTCATAAAATAAAATTAAATACTTAACAGATCAATAAAAGACTGATCACATTCCCTCCCCCCCCGCTGAAACTATGAAATTCCTTAAGGGCAGAATTTTGAGAATCCCTCCTCTATAGGGACACTGGCACCCTATATGTGAGATTATGTTTTTATTAATATTATTCATTGTGAAAAAAATTAAAATCCTCTATTATTCCCTATAGAAACTAGCAATATTAAAAATAAAAAATTCATAATACGACAACACTGAAAATATTTCGTTCAAGTATTTTCCTGTCTTCTTTCATGAATTTGTGTATTTTTAAATCCAACATAAGCAGATGTACATTACATTTAATAAAATGTAGCATTCACAAATTCAAAATATAGAAATATATTTCTGCAAAAGTTAATTATTAACCCAAATTTTCAATTGAAGGTTATTAATTGTTACAAGCTAGTTTTAAATATTTAATTTAATCGTTTTGAGAGTAAGGCTTAGTTCCCGAAATCAGATTAAACTTTCAGGTCATTATCCTAAGAAATGGAGTCTTCCACAATGCTGTAGTAAAATTCTGTAAGGCCAACTCATTACATTTGCAAAAGAGATTAAGGACCGGATATTCTGACTGTATGAAATATTTTCATTCGTAATTTTACATTAAGGTTCTACGAATGCGTATGTAGGTAATTCTTATGGCTTTTTTATAATTGTTCTTCCGTCTCACTAAATTCCTGCCGATAAGGAATGAATGACATTTGATCAAACAATATATTAAATAGTTTTTTTGGCAATTTAAAAAATATCGTTCTTAATAAGGTTTATTGCTAAACACGGCAGCAACTAACGTGTTAAGAACGCTATTTTTCTGTCTTCTTTCGTGAATTTGTGTATTTTTAAATCCAACATAAGCAGTTTTAATAAAAAAGTAGCATTCACAAATTCAAAATATAGATATATATTTCTGCAAAAGTTAATTATTAACTCAAATTTTCAATTGAAGGATTCCTTTGTCAATTGCAAAAGGAAAAACGTTCGCACATCCCATAAAAAGAAGATTTCAAAAAATACATTAAATAAAAATCTCTTTGAATAAAATAATAATCCTTTTTTTTTTATTTTTCCATGAATTTGTAGCTAAATTTTTTTAACTGTAAATCACGCATATTTTTTTCAGCAGTCATTAATAAATTGTATTTACAAGCCTTATTCGATAGTTATTACAAAAGTTTCACAGAAAAAATTGCATGCATTTAGAATTTTTTAAGTATTTATTCAAAATAGGATATCATTCAAGTAATAGTGAACTGAGTAAAAAATAAACTGTACTTTCGGGATGTTTCTAGATATTTTTAAGAACTAATTTAAAAGGAAACTGAACATAATGCTTACCGTACCGCAGCTGGGAAAAAAAAAAAAAAAAAAGTCTTTAAGCTTTCAGATTTTGAATTATGCCCAAAAGAGGTTTTTTTTTTTTTTTTTTTTTTTTTTTTTTCCCACACACACACATACACATTTTGAGAGCGTCTGGGCTAATGTTCCATTCGGTTAAAAATATTAAAATCAAGAATATCTTTAGAATTTCCGATAGAGAGTCTGCCGCGCTGAAGGTAAGAAGTTTTATTCCGTAGAGTATTGCCACTGCTGGCTTTGAAATCGTCGAGTTTGTTATTCAAAAGTTCGTTGAAGTTTTACAAAATATGAAATAGACAATAAAACAAATTTCCGAATTCCAAATTCGGGCTTCCAGATACCCATATTCGAGTGGAGGACTACGTTGTTCAAAATTTGATGGTTATGTTTTTTCACCCTACGAGAAACACACATATATTCATGCATATATTTCATTATTTAATTTCTTTAAATATAATGCAGTGCTGTCTAATATTTAGTGGCAACGATTTGAAAAGTGAAACGCCGTTTATGGAAAACCAACGCAAAATGTCAAAACGAAATTAAGAGCCCTTCTGGATAAATTGCCCATTTCGGCTAAAAAGAATTAATAAGAAAAGAAATAAAAAAATTTTCCTTTTAGAAGCATTGTTAGGTAACTTTCATATCAACAACTTGTTTTAAAGTTTATCCATTTTCTAACTTGCAGAAATTTGTTAAACTGGATGCATTTAATGTACGCATGATTATAAGTACTTCACTCAAAACTGTAGCTAAAGCTTAAGTAATGTAAGTTAACATTTATTAATTAAATAATAAACTTTTAAATAATACTATTGAACTAAATTCACTTAGAAAACTATCTTAATAATATGGACTTCTACATGATATATTAAGCTAAAAAAATAGTAAATTATCTAATAAAAGAAACCGATATACAGTGAAATCACCCTAAGACTCTAGGGGACTATTAATTGTTTCTAAGCGAAAAAGGTGAAAAGTTAACTGTGTCTTCGATGGAATTCGAATCGCGAAGAATATATTGCTTGCTGGATGTGCCACAAGAGCACGCTCGGAAAATTGCGATAATTCTTCTCAACACTATTCATCAAAACTGAACAAACTTTTTTAAAATTTTTTAATTTTTAATTTCTTAGAACTGCTTCTTGATTTCAGAGACGGTTACATTAAGTAGGATAAACATGAGTCTTGGATATATTTTAGTTAAATAATTTTTAGATTATAAATAACAAACAATACGAAAATCTTATATGAATTATTATAACAAAAATATTAAAGAAATAATAAAAACTCAAAATAATGTTTAAAAAATTATAAAGTGACATTAGCTATAATGACTGAATAATTAGTAAATTATCAAACTGAAATTAGTATATTATATGTAACGTGCAATAGAATTTTTATTAAAAGGTTCTTATAAATATTCCATAAAAGTATTTAAAAAATAAATAATAAATAGATCCTACACTGAAAATTGCATAAAATTCAAAAAAGCAAATTATCTTACTAATATTATATTATAAGAGAGTACCTATTAAAGTGTTAAATAACCGTGAATACTTGCATTTAATTGTTTATTTGTCAAAAGTATATGCTTAATATCTCAAACAATATTCTTTATTTCAAATAACTGATATTTGGTGTAAAATACATGACTGCGTTTTTCAAATCAATAGAATATTTATTTAAAATGTATATTTATAATTCATATTCTTTTAACAGAAAGGATATAAATGCAATCAAATTGTCTATATCTTGAACTTGGAAAATATCAGCATGAGTCAAGTAATGTACAAGCCAGGTACAGTATAAGATGTATGGTGTTCTTTCTTAAATGTTCGCTTGTTGTATAAAAACTGATTTTGTGCATAATAAAAGAAGAAACAAAATCTGCAGATTAAAATGCTTTTAAAGCGTTTTTTACACTTTAAAGTAAATGTTTTTTCCTTTAATAACACTTTTCAACAAATATATATATATATATATAAGAGAATAAATTGAATTTAATTAAAAAATTAAATTTAAATACATATTTAATTAAATATTCTTTGCGCCATTGCTGCAAGGAATGAAATTTAAATTTCTTAACAAATACGTATAAAAGTAAAAAAATTTAAATTCTAAAAAAAGGAAAAAAGCCAAAGTAATTTAAAATAATTTTAAAAAATGTGCAAACATGTAAAAGATTTAATTCTCGAATTAATCTACAATATCATTTAAATTCAGAAGCATAAGAAAATCAAGTGCAAAATGCATATTCGTGTAGGGGAAGTTTCTGTAGACAATGCATATTCGTGTAGGGGAAGTTTCTGTAGACAAGGATTTCTAAAAATACATTGGTTTCTAGATTTTTTATTATTTTATAAAAAATTAATTTTTAAAAAAATTTAATTTTTTAAGTAAAAGTTTAATTTTGACTTTTACTTGCTTGTTTCTCAAGACTTTCCTTTTTGAACTTTAATTCTTAAATGTTAATACTTAAATGTTAATTTCTAAGGGTACCACTTTATTGGAATTACTTTTGGAAATTCCAATAATTTATTGGAATTAATATATATATATATATATATATATACTCACTTTCTGAACATTCTTCACAATGTATTTACTTTTGGTTTTGACTTTTACCCTTGCCTGCATGAATGACGAAAAACGAATTGAATGATTGGAGAGTTAGGTTTGGAGGCAACTTCCCCTTGATAAGTCTGTCTCCTGCCTACTCTACGGTCATTCACATATGCATTTAAAAAAAATTGTTCAATTTAATTTTAATTTATTAAATTAGTAGATTTATTTTCATGGATAGATTTTGCACTTGATTTTCTTATGCTTCTGAATTTAAATGATATTGTAGATTAGTTCGAGAATTAAGTCTTTTACATGTTTGCACATTTTTTTAAATTATTTTAAATTATTTTGGCTTTTTTCCTTTTTTTAGAATTTAAATTTTTTTACTTTTATACGTATTTGTTAAGAATTTAAATTTGTTTAAATATATATATATTTATATAGGTTGCTACAAGCATCCTATAAGTATATACCTTAACATCTTTATTAATGATGATAATAGTTTGGAAGAACATATTTATTACTCTTATAATTAAAATCGAAAAAGGCTCAATAAACTGCTAAGATAATGCATAAATTTGTTATTGTGGTAAAATTTCGTTTTGCATATAATATGTGTTTATCGAGAAATAAAATATTAAAGCATTTTTCCCTTTCAGCCTTAGATACGGGTCTATTAGCTCTAAAATTACTTCAGGATCATTACCATGATGCGGCTAAAGCAATATATGTCGTCAATGGTAAGTATTCCTAGTTTACAATCCAGTTTTCCAGTATATAAAAAAATAAGATTACAATTGAAATATTACCCCAACAATAGGAAATTATGATGGAATTTTCGATCATTATGGCTTAGTATTTTTTAAATTACGAGATCAGTCAACAAATCCTCTGGTCGAACTTCAACAAAACTGTTTACACTTTTTTGAGTTCTTAGCTTACATACATATAGAGAGAATCTATACATAGTTTAAATATCTACACTTCCATATTTCCATAAAATATTAAGCTAATAATTTTAACATATACATTTTCAAACCTTTAAGCAATAAAATGAATAAAATGGTTTAAAAAGGGTTAAATTCGAATGTATTCAACCTTTTTACAAATCATGAGATCAAAAAGACCTAGCAAGGAAAAATACACAGGAAATGACTAATAAATAATTAAATAATATTTGTAATAAAACAGAACTTTTGGTGACAAAAATATTCTTTGATTGAGGTCTGTCAATAAGGAATGTGATGAACTGGCATGACGGGTTCAATTCATTTAAACACTGTCACATATGACGATTAGAGGCATACGAGCCTGTTCACGAAACAAATGTATTCTTAGTTCGAAAATATTCTGAAGAGAATTCGGCAGAAATTAAGCATCATTTAGTAGGCTCCATATATGCTCGTTAGGATTTAGGTTCGTTGATCTAAATGGCCTTGTGTGTCCATGAGTTATCTTCGATGAAAATGTCATTAATACCCATCGCCGCAAGATATGAGTAAATATACTGATTAAGAATGTAACTGTCTACCAAACTGCATCCAAGGTAGCGCGGACAGTTACAACCAAAGAATCAGCCATGCTTTCTCAGAGGTTAGAACTCGGGCCCTGTGGTATCCCAGTCGGCTCCCCTAACCACTATACCGTCTAGTCTAGACGCACGAGGATAGATACAGAGTGTACGATCTTCGACGGCAGTCCCTGCTCAACCAATTAAGTTACCGCCTCTCTGTACATGTATGTCAAGGATGTTACTGGCTTGATAGTGAGTTTCAGGCATTCTTCTGTAAGTAACCGTTGGTAATCAGTTTGCTGACCAAGCCATGGGTCTTACGTTAAGACCACAATACTCCATTGCTGTAGAGTTCAAGTGACAAGATATCGAGATTATTTTAAGCGGGCCTTTCTCTGCAACGGTGAGACTCAATAATCATCTTGCTTTCAATCAACCTGTATGTAGCCTTCTGCAAATAATTTACAAAAATACGGTTCTTTCTATCATCACTGCAAGGTTCGAAGCAGGTTCCTTATGGATACAGAACACTTTTAATCCTTGGACGTTTATTTTTCGTACCTTTACTCATTTATGACGTCCACTTTGAGTCAGTTTTACTAGTAAAAATTTTATATAGGTTATTCGTATTAAACATACACACATAAAAATATTAGATTGAAAATTGTTTAGCATTTTAATTATCAAAATTTAAGTTATAATACTTCAATTCCAAAATTTAGTGATAAATTTGGGCCTGTTTAAGGGAAATCAATTTCTTTACGTCTGGTCTTATTTCACTTCGTTTTAACATTAAATTAGGATCCACTTTTAATTTTCTTCTTTATTTATTTTTCAAATATGACATGGAAGAAAATCCTTGTTAACACAAATAGAACTGCAATAAGGTGATAAAAATTTAAAAGCTTTATTTGAAATGCCTTTCAATTATTTTTTTCGGTTTAGCCAAAAGTGTGCAAGTTTGTTAATTTCTGAAATCTTCAGTTGGAGTTCCGTCGCAGGATATTTCTATCAAGTGTTCTTTTTTTTTCCGAGAGTTTTGAATTTAATAGTTAAAAACTTCTTTGTTTCTTTGGGTACCACCTGTTGAGAATCGCAGCTCTATGTAACATTTAATCAATTTACTACACGATTGCTATAATTTAAAAAGGAATTTATATTTAGCTATTTTAAGATGAAACTGTTTCTACCAGAATGCGGTTGACGTCTGTTTTAACAAGCTTGTTGGTTTTTAACATACCTTGTAGAGTTCCTCACAGTGTAATGCTGAGTTACAGCTGAACGTGAAAAATCTTAAGAACTGATAAGCGAATAATCGCTTGAGTTCGTGTGACAGGAAACAACAAGATGGAAGGGTAAATAACCCTTTATTATTCCAACTGAAGTTTAACAAAAACTCCGTCTTGGAGTGTACAATAAAGCCCACACTTGGGCTTTGAACTTAAGAGACTAAGAATAATGCTAAACTAATCTAAACTAAAGAGGTATAACCGAAGCTATCAAAATTTTAACAGAGTTGGCTCCTTAACGCTAATTGACTGCGAAGCTATCAAGGGCTTAAAGTATGGCTGAGCGTAATAATATCTTACGAGAGAATAGTCTAAAAAGGCGGTCGCGTGCAGCTAGAAACCCAGTCTCTCTCTCTAAGACCGAAGAACTTCGCGGTTAAATACCGCTCTTCTTCATTATGTATTCAGACGTGATTCTAAAACTAAGTTCTGGCCGGAAGTAGTAAGTTGAAGTTAAGAATCGATAGGAAAAGAGCTTTAACTCAAAATTTAACTGTTAATAAAATTAACATAATCCTTACAACCTTCTCAGTTTGATATATGATTCTTGGAAACAAATATTAATATAATTTTTCTTTAATTTTTAGCTCCCATCTTTTTCTCGTCGATCTTCAAACTCTTCAAACCTGTCATAGGAGATTCCTTACAGAAGCGACTGAAGATTTTTGATGGAGGTAAATATCGGTTTCTGTTCCTCAATTATTCTTTCGTTTCTCATTCATTTTGTTAAAATGTGAAGTCAATATGTCTGTAGCTTTGCAGCAAAATTGTTCCTTTCTGATTTTAAAGCAAAAACGATATACTCATTACGAATTTATCAGAATATACATACTCTTTCACATTTCTCATGTAACACACTTTTAGGTTTTTTTATTCTTATTCACTATGCAAATAATTTGCACTAATATTGTATCGTTACATTTGCATTCTAGTTACAGTGTTAGCTTTCAGTATAAATGATCGAAGTGGACATTACCAAACGAAATTACCAAATATCAGGAAAAGTAAATTCGATCTGATACAAAAAAGCATTAAAATATTTCTGCTAAGGATACCATCTAATGATCTAACTAAAAATTCTTTAATAAGGTAATCATAAAGACTGTTAAAAAAGGCTGTTGTTAAAAAAATCCGTTATTTTTTACTGATGTTTTACATCAGTAAATGTCAGTAAATGTTTCACCACAAAAATTTCTTGCATGGATTATTAAATTATACGCATTTTTTCCCGCAATTCATTCAAACTTATTTCTCGAATTTCATTAGAGATATATTTCTCATCCAATTAATTCAGTTCTCACTTCTCGGTAAAACAAAAATACATAAAAACTCAAAATATCTTCATTAAAAATTGAAAGATATAGAAAAACATAAAACACCAAATACAATTAAAACATTTTTTTACAATTAAAATTACAGTTTATAAGCAAAAGCAAGCCATTCGGCCAGCAGGCAAAAAGGCAGATTTTTTCGGTGCACAACACAAAAACTTTTGTTCCCGCTCGGCTGATAAAACTAACTGTTACCAAAGTGCCTTGGTAAAAGTCCGAAGTATGCTTTAATATGATTCCATTTAGAGCTTTAACCAAGCCTTTGCTGGAAATCCTAGGAGTTACCAATGCCTCCTGGTAAAAGCCCGAAACGATATATTATTATGATAGGGTTTTCCATTCGCAGGTATATTGTATACAGTGTATTCCCAAAATGTTAAAACACACTTTAATTTTTAATTGATAATATAAACTATAAAAGTGATCAAAATAACGTATTATTTAATATTATGTCCACGGAACTGTCTTACAATTATAAGATCCCACGGTAAAAATCTCAACTAATGCACAATTCTCTCGATAGCTACTGAAGAGATTTCAATAGTTTTTAAAAATAATTTTGGCAATTGTTAAAAAAATTAAATTGATAGATCAGGGGAAAAATTATGAAATTAAAAAAATAAGAAAAAAATGCACAATTTTCTTGAGTACTTCTTACTACTGTTACAACAAGGTTTACTGTTATGGCATTTTGAATTGCAAAGTAGAGAGATTTTCGAGTTAAGATTTTCGAAACAATATTTGGCAACTTTTCGTTTTGCGATTAGCATAAAATACTTTTAGTAAGATAGTGTTAATAGAAAAGTACTTAAAAGATAATTCAGTTATTTTGGGCTTTATGAATTAATTAGAGCTTACACTAAGTGTGTACATGTGTTAATGCAGCTTACATTCTTCATATTTTAAGATTTTCTTTTATTATTGTTAGTTTTTCTCTTCGTTTTAAAAGTAATGCAGTTAAATATTTATTTACTATTATTACTTATTCTTTGTTATGAATTTGTCTTTGTTCTTTATTATTTGTATTTCTTTGTCATGAAGACAACTACAGTCTATCTATTCAAAACTTTATTTCATATAAATGCTGAGAATAGCATTGATTTGCGTAATGGAATACAGTAACGACGAATTCTGAAAGCATATGCTTAATAATTCTTATCGTTGAAAGCTGTCTATTAATTACACAAATGAAGTCTACAACTACGGAGTCTATTATAATTTTTCAATTATCATTCAAATAGCCTTTCAGGAGGTAATTATTTATGTTCGATTGAAATGTTTTTTCCCATCTTGTAAAAGAATTTCTTAGCTTGAAATCAAAATACCTGGAGGATTTTGAATGTTCTTGTAAATCTCGAATGTAGCTCATACGCTTAGAATTGCAAAGTCATGCATATTAAAATGCATTAATAATAGAAAGCTGAAATCTGAAACTATTTAAATTATACCCTCAACATCAATGTATTATTTTGAGAACCTTATTAACGCAAGAAGGAGATTAGTCCTGAAATGGCATTTTGCGACGAAACTCTTAAATGCGTTGCATCGTTTTCCAAACTTTTGCCACCAACTTTTATCGCCCTGTATTATATTTAAAGAAATTAAATAATAAAGAATCTGCATAAATGTGTGTATGTTTCTCGCACTATGAAAAACCATCGGTTACCTACAGCCATCGCGTAGTCCTTTACCCAAACATGAGCACCTGGAAGCCCAAATTTTTAATTTCGAATTTTTTTATTATCTATTTTATATTTTATAAACTTTTAACGAATTTTTGACTAACAAACTCAAGGATTTAAAAGCAAGAATTGGCAACACTGTACTGATAAAATATTTTTATTCCCTGACCGCAAGATTGTATATTGGAAATACTAAAAATATCCTGTTTTTAAAAAATAAATTGTGATTTTGCTGTTGAATCGAATTTTATGTGGCGCTAGCCACCAAAACATGATATTTAATAAATAAAGTAAACACATAAAATGTTAATAATAAAATGATAAAAAACGTTTTGTAAAGCCACCTTAGTAAGAAACTGAATATTGATATCTTAAACTAAGAAAAGATTAAAAAAACAGAAAAAATACGCCAACACTTAAATGCTGCATCGAAAATTCTGAACGTATACTACTATACTGCTTTTAAAATTTTTGAAATGTTGCTGTTGTGGCGTAAGTACTAAGAAAATTATGCTTAATAAAGTTTTCAAAAAAATCTCATGTGTACACCACATGACTTCCCTGTACGGAATATTAAATCATACGCATTTTTTCTTGCATTCATTTAAACTTATTGGACTGAATTAAATCTACTTCGTCGAGAGCGCATGTACTACAATAGAATAAATGCAGTCTTGAAAATTCACTGTATTTATTTACCATAGTGACACTCTGGCGCTAGGTTCACTTAACAGCGTTAAATTTCGTTCCTATTATAACTCAGAATGCATGAAATTTATATCATTTCAAGAAATATCTAATCGTTGCCACATATTCTATTCAAATACTATAATAAATCTAGAATGATGTATAAAAGAAACTAAACAAACAAAACAAAAAAAGAAACAGTTTTTCACAGACGATTTAGTATTTCTCATTCAATCAATTCAGGTCTCACTTCGCGGCAAGGCAGAAATACGTAAAAACTCAAAATATCTATATTAAAAATTACGAAGTAAATCTTAAACATTTATTTCCTCGAAAAAATTCCAGAAAGGATTAAGCATGATTTAATTTACAACAAATCTACTATTCTGCTGTTTCAAATGTAAACAAATATGTCCGCCATGTTATTTAAAGATTAGGCTTAACTGTCCTTAAACAGCTTTTGAATTGTTGATAATTGTACAAACACTGCTTGCAGATTTACTAAAGGCATTAAAAACCTTAACCGGAAGATAAGAACAACATAATTCAATCATTTGTAAAGCAAAAAATTCACAATTTATAAACGTATAAGACTAAAGAAACTGAGCTCACTAGGCCGAGTAGCAGAGTGTATATATATATATACATATATTTATATACTTTTGGTGCGGCCGATTGCAACCAAAATACGAGGTGCGCATCTACATGTTACAGCAGTCCTACATACAAAATTTCAACGTTCCGAGGCTACTCGTTTTGAGTTATGCGAGATACATACGTATGTCCGCACAGACGCCACGAAAAATTCTCTTCAGAATTCATTTTAAATCAGTTTTATAATTTTTTTTGGGGGGAAAAGAGTCCTTTATTCTGTTCTTAGTTGCGGATGTCACGCAAACACATCATTAAATTGCATTGGATAGCGGTCAAAATTGGTATTTTCGTTGAAATATGATACCCACAATTTTGGCAATTACAGTACTTCCTTTTTACTTCGTAGAAGGAAGTAAAAATGAGTTAGAAGTGAGTGAAAGCGTAAAAAACCTTAATACACCCTTTAGTGCAATCGTTAAAATGCGAAACCTATCAATTTTTTTTTTTTTTTTTACTTAAATAGAAATAAAAAATTACGTTCTCATTGCAATTCTGTGACTTTTTATATGATCTATTTTAATGTCTGCATCGCATGCTTTACATGCATTCATTTGCATTTCTTCTGTTGATATTAGATGACTGGAGAGAACAGCTGTTGAAGCATATAGACGCTGATATTTTACCCGCATATCTAGGAGGCAATCGAGTAGATTCGAATAATGATCCTTTGTGCAGAGAATTTGTAAGTATCATTAATTTCGTTAGATAGGTTTTATTTACTGTAATAATAGAAAAAATAATATCCAAACTTATTATCATAAATATTGCTTTCCTCTATTTTTTACATGAAAAGAGAAATTAGTTGAGATGACATATTTTTACATTTGGTTCTTGATTTTAAAAAAGTTTCAAAAATCCACCCTAGCTTAAGATATCAGAACACTGGAGTGCTTAAGACACTGCGAAAATTGTATTAACATGTAATATCATCCACTGCAAGTTCAAAAAATTGTATTTGAACTTGAGTGAAAGAATAAAAAGTATTTTATTAACGATATAAAATTTGAACAAACTATAGAGAGAGTGTGAGCTAATAGTAGGAATTTAAAAAAAAAAAAAAAACCTTACTTTCAACTATGGAATTAAACAGTCTTGATTATTCTTCAAACTTTATCAAGAGCTTTAAATGCAAATTCAAAAGCCACTTGTGCAAAATTAGTTAACTTTTGATTGAAGTGTTGAAACATTTACAAAAATCATTTCAATATAAAAAAAGGAAATTTTTTCTCCTGCTGTCGCACTGAAACACATAAAGAGCATGATTTTGCAGAAAGTTGAATAAAAGTGTAACCAAATGTTTTGAGTAAAATTTGATTGAAGAAAGCAAAAACATATTTTTTCCAACGGCAGATTGTGAACAGTTACAGTATAATACAGTCCGTTAATGTATACAAGGCCAGATGTGGCGGTTTCTTTATTATGGAGGCAACAAACAGGTGGGCCACTATTGCCTCCTATGAAAGGACGGATAGTTACAACATGCCTTCTCCGTGATTCGAACCCAGGCTCTTCGGTATCGCAGTAGGCTTCCCTAACCACTGTATTGTCTAGGCGGCAGAAAGCAAAAATATTGACGTTTCTACATTCGAGCAAGCTGAAATGTTGAATACATTCAAAAAGGCAAAGGCCTTTTTCAAACAATCCATTAAATCCCGCTTTCAGAAAACGAAATAAACATTACAGAAGATAATTGTAGCTACGAAATTGTCTATTAATTATTCGTTCAAGATTTGAACTTGATAAAGAAACGAAACATATATCCCATTTTCAGTAATCGCAGTTACTGATAGGTAACAACTGTAATACTGCATAAATATCGAATATTCATATTCTCTGCAATGGCTTCGTACTGACTGAAACAAAAAATGCACTCATAAATTAAATTAAAATTTTAACTTTGTATAAAAGGCCTTCTTGCAATAATAATATATTAGATTTCTAAACATAAATTAATTACAATTAAAAGTTAATTACGTATTAAATTATACATACTCCGTTATCGGATCATTTAAAATATTCTAGAAAAATATAGCTGAAGAATAACTGTACGTTTAGGCAAAATTACAACACGTTCTACTTTTTAAATCTCAGAATAAATAAAATTATTTTTAGTATATTAACAGATACCCGCTAATGTTCATGAGCATTCTTTAAATCTTGAACGTGTTGGATTGCCGGACTTTAATTGTATGAGGATTAAATTTATAACCATGGATTTTTGTTTTTTTCCAGCCTGTCGAAATTTATATTTCAAATTATTCTTATAAGGGTTTTTGCAGAATCGAGAACCAATATAAATTTACACATATTAAATACTTTTTTTTCCATGAAATAAATTCGCCAGTGAATTTTAAAGCTAAAAATGTAATGCAAATTAATAGGAGATGGTACATTACCGGAAGATCTTTAAAAGAAAATGAGCAAAAAAAGCATTATTGTCGATTTTGAATTATGGAAGCAGTGAAGGAATTTTTAAAAATAAAAGTATCTCTTAATATATGTTAAAAAAATCTATCTATAAAAGTACTTCGGTAAAAGAATTTCTTAAAAATTGCTTAAATATTACTGGAGGGTAGAATGGATTAAATTCACTTTGATTATTTATATTATGGCAAAGCATGTGAGGGCTATTTGACTAAGGGAAGGTGTGCCTTCGTGAGGACTTCTAAAGAGAAACTAGCTTGTATACACATTGCGCATGGAGAAAACCACGAAAGCAGCCAGCTCGTTCGTCTGGAATCGAACCCAGATCGGAACTACCAGTATTCAGCGATTTTATCGCTCAGCCGCTGATGGGCAGAGCTTCGAAAAGATAGAGATTCATATTCAAGGGGGAAATCCCGAAAACTCCTGTGCTGCATAAGAACTCCGATCGAACTACCAGTATTCAATGGCAATTACCTGCGTCCGGCAACAGGCGACTCAATAATAATGAATCTATTAGTGTCGGTTAAGGCAGAGACGTCATCTATGGAGTAAAGGTTTCCAAGTCATGTTGACTTTTGGCTAATTTTTCCTTAATCTCTATCAATATACGTTTCCTTCTTTTGTTCACTTGAAGATTTACAGTGTGGAGGTAGCTGACTCAAAGAAACTCTGTAATTTAGTCTTTGGTATTTATGAGGGAATTGTATACAGTCTGTCTATCATAAGAAAAACTCTCTCCAGTTAGTCTGCAGCTGCCTGGTGCCGTAGAAACGAGCCTTGACCCATTTTCCCTAGGGGTGTCTTGAAGACGAAACATACTCATTCCCCATCAGCCAACAGTCGCCAAAAATAAAATAACAATAAAGCAACCCTTGGTTCGCCCTTATTTGAAATATAATAACTCTGTTGCTATAGCAACCGCCGCCCGCCAGACACAGTGGCGGGAGCTACACTTCTCGTAGACAGACAGTACACAGGCATACGAAGTACAAGGTTCACTCGCTTAATAAGCCATTAAAACCATAAACTTATAAGGTATTTCTCCCGCCTTCCTAACGAGCCTTCGCGGTGTAGTGGTTCTGCACACCAGAGGTTCGTGTTTCGATTCCCGGCGAAGGCGATTGCTCGTTTTTCACCTTGCATGCTTCCAAAAAATACATAATGTCTCTACAAACTGATAAGTGAAGCCGTCGAAATAAAACGACATTTTATGCTTATAATAAGTTGAAACAAAAAGTAATTTCTTCCTAACATACTGATATGGCAGACTGTTCATAACTGTTCCTCTGTCTTTCGCATCAAACATTACCATACAAACAAAACTGTAATACTAAAAACAAGAAACAGAAAAAAAAATATTAATTTTGCAAAATCTATTCTGAACTTCTAGATTTTTGACAATCGTATCATGATGAGCTATATAGTAAAATATTGAACACACTAAAATGTTTCAAAATGCACTCAAAATCTAAAATTTATTCCATTAAAATAGAGCAGGCCTTTTTGGCGTAGCTCAAAAAGCTTCGCGTGATATTTAAGATTTTAACATTGTTCATACTGAAAATTGCGTGCAAAGATATTTATATAATAAGAAGGAATATGGCTTTAAATTTGTTCACACATATTATGAATCAAACTGAATATTAAGCTATCTTTACGAATGATATTTTTAATTTATCTACTTCTTTGTTATTTTCCTTGATGGTAGATTGGTTTCGGAGGGACTATTCCCGAAAGCAGTTACGCTGCAAATTTTCTTGACCTTGAAGACCCCGATGTTGTAGTTGCAACTGTTCCTGCAGGAGCGACTCTAAATTTTCGATTTTCCACACCAATAGTGGGTACAGTTATTCAATGGCATATTCAGGTATAGTATTACAATCAATATCGACATTGATTTTAATTTATTTAAATGTAATAGAAACGTGCTCACAGAACAGACGCAACAATAAGACAAAAATGTAATTCACGTAATCAACGTGTAATAAAATAAAAATGGCTCAAAACCCCGCGTATGAATCTGTAACAATAGCTTTAGTAAGTAATAAATTAAGATTAAATATAAGAAATGTGGAGTTTAAAATAATTAATGCAAAAAAAAAGGCTTTTCTATACAGCAGTGTTCAGTTGCTAGTTTCAACTCAGAAAATAAGAAATCATATATTTCTAGGACACAGAATATGTGGGAAGAAATTATTGACCTACAAATGTTGAAATGACGCACGTGTGTGTGTCTGTATGTATTTGTCTTTGTATTAGAATCAAAATTAATGACTGTCGTAAATCGAAATGATAATAATTATCATAACTAATGAAAATTACTACAGTTTATGAATTATTTATAAAGTTCTAGTTAATTTACGTGTTCTTTGCTCTAGAACTTTAGTGAAGTCTCTAGCGCTGGTCTTCTTGCTCAGTCCAAAGAAGAATTAAAATACCTTTTTAACTCAAAGAAATGCTACAGACGGCCATTCTCGGACTTACAGGAAAGCCCGCACTTGGGGTTTTACTTAAGATAGAAAATAAGGAACTAAACTAATTTTAATTAGCTAAACTTTAGCCGAAGTACTGCAAAAAATAGCTAACAGAGTTGGCCTGTAATTAAACTTCACCTGCGAATACTAACAGGCACGTAAGACTACGCCGAACGTAGTAAGATAGTGTGGTGTGGTGGGTGAAACCGCTACGCAAACCCTGGATTGTGACACAGGGTTGGAATGAACTTCAAACTCAAGTTTTAGCAATAACATGAATTTTATAAAAATAAAACGACTCTTTGAGAAGTGAAAACGATCTTGAAAAACTAGTTATCATCAGAAGCAGTTGTGATATACGAGGACGCTTTTAAAAACTCTTTATTCGTTCCCATAAATGCTCTGAAGAAGAAGGAAATCATGGAGGAAAGTACCAAATTGTATGCAAATTTGTTTAAAAAAAAAAAAAAAAAATTTTGCTCCGTTTTATTAGTCCAAAAAGATTTGAGTCCCGAAGTACTATTACTTTCGTTTTGGCATTTTGCGTCGGACTCCTATATACGTCGGTTCATTTTTCAAACTGTTGCCACAAAATTTTAGAGTCCTGCATTATATTTCAAGAAATGAAATAATGAAAAATCTGCATAAATGTATGTGTATTTCTCGCATTGTGATAAAACAACGGTATCTACAGCCATCCAGTTTTGAATGACGTAATCCTACTGCGAATATGGGCATCTGAAATCCCAAATTTGAAGTTTGGAATTTGTTTTATATCGATTTCATATTTTGTAAAACTTTAACGAATTTATGGAAACACTCTACCGGGGGGGGACCTTTTTATCTCCACCGCGTCGAACTGTGTATCGGAAATTCTAAAGATAGGCTCATTTTAAAATTATTTTGCGACATTGCTGTTGAACTAAATTTTATGGTTTAACTGCAAAGAACATGATATTTAATAAATAAAGGTAACACACAAAACGTTAAAAAAACGTCCCTTGGACGTAATTTAAAATCTGAAACATTTCAGATTTTTTTGATTACTTTCTAAGTTTTATTTATTTATTTTTGGATGTGTGCGTGTTTGTAAACCTGGTCATGTTTAGCTATTAAAAGAATTTATAGAAACAGATGAGGTACAATTTAAAATCTTGGCCTCAGTTTCATTTCAAATTTCGGATCGATTTGGGAATTGGTGTCAAAATTCTAACCAGTTTATTGTTTCAGCCTCTGTTAGATAGGGAGGCTGTAAACCATAATCATTCACACAATTTGGTATTAACCATAATTGGGCAAAATTTATCTGTAGTAGTAATTTTACAAACACTTGAAACAGATTGGGGTTTGTGTTCTAGATTTTCAGTACATTTGGTGCATTCAGTTTTGAAAACCCCTCATCGAAACTGCGCAACTGATTTACTTTTAACATGAAAGGAAATCGTAATGAGAAAAAAGTCTTATAATAAAAAATAAGACAAGTTTCCTTTTAATAAATGTGGAAAAATATCCAGCTGCTCAGCGGAAGAAATGGGATGCATATTCATAAATCTGTCAACTATGGAACAGATCACGAAGCACTCATCTTTAGTTTTATTATCCATCTTAAAATTATTCATCACTTTTTATTTTGTTAAGAAAAGAATTTTGTTTTCTTTATTTTTCAAAGTTTATGATCTTTTTTAATACTGGTACGTTAACTTGCAGGCGAAAGATAACGACATAGGAATTGGAGTGTTCTATGAACCTTTAGATGAAGATTCCGACTCATCGAAAAGCTCTCAGAAGAAAGCGAAAGAAATTGATGTTTCGGAACTGGAACCTCTTACCCCAATAATTCGCAGTCAGTGTCATATTTGCCCAGAAATTGGCAGCACGGTCACATGGCTCTCCGGCACTAGTAAGTTTAACAGTATACATAAAGCTAATTATTTTTCTAATGAGACTACTTTTAAAGTTTTTATGTAAAGTAACAATTTATGGGAAAGGAAATTGTGCCTTTCCCATAAAATATACAATATTCAATATCTGCTCTAGTTAGGATCGCTATTATTTATTTAACATTTTTTTGTGTATAGCAGCATTGTGTTTATTATAAAAGAGTGGTTCAAAATTTCATTTTCCAATTTTCTTATTTTTTATCCTATATTCGCATAAATCGTAGCAGATAAGACTGAGACAAGCTTGAGATTTTTTTAAAGTTTCATTATAATTTGTATAAAATTAAAACTTACATTAGAAAACTATTAAGTACTAATTGGTGTGAACATTTATATTGTTAAGAAGATCCTATCTTAAAAAGTTCTGTCTTTTTTCTCCTCGTGTACTCTTCTATTACATATTTATTCTTTATACAGACGAAAATAATTTATTTTGAAATAAGTTAGATTTTTTGTCATTGGAATACCCAAAATCTTTCTTAATAAATGTTCAGTGTGTAAGCATTCTCTCCAGGGGCTATCATTCTCTCTTGATAATAAATATATTTATGGTACTGAAAATTACTGAAAAAAATTATTTTATTTCTGCTGTTATTATAATGCACAGGATGGTCATAAAACAAATTTTCTGGTATATCTGTCCCCAGCATATATCCACTCAAGCAATCCAAATAAAATTTTTCCTTTCTATGCTAAAAATAGTAAAATGCTTGGAATAAATTTCTCCGAAGTGCTTCAACCCAGAACTCATGATTATTACATGACTCTTAAACATCATTGGTTATGTACAAAAAAGTACAGTACGCGAAAAATAAAAAAAAATGGGCAGTTCTAATATCTCCCGTTCTACTGGGTCGATTGACGAAATTCAACTTGCGTTTTTCATGTCTCCAAAGCGCTACTTTGGACATGTATTAGATTTATATACAGCATTGATCTAATATGGGTGCTTTGACACAAAATCGGAATTTTTCTGAAATAACATACCAATCGTTTTCTATATTTCGATTCTACGATTCAAACTGCCAAGTTTTGTTAAAATCGCACGAGTAGTTTTTTTAAAAAATTAGATCTCAAAATTTGAGCTCCTCATTGTTAATTGAATTCGGTATATATTTATTAAACTCTCTTTTTTTAAACTTATTTGATTCTTCCTTTTTCGTTTCGAAATTTAGGTTTATTCCAAATAAATTTCGCCCATTTTTTTATGATTTATTTTTAAAATTTGTATTTTTAAGTAATTTTTATAAATTTTTTTGAGAAATATTTTCGATTATAACCTATATAATTTTTACCGTCATCTCAAAGTACATGTATTTTTAAGTATATCTGCAAAAAATAAGAGTTTTTTATTCAAAATTTCAGAAGATATATTTGAATTTATATATTGGCGCGTTTTGAAAATTTGGCATATTTGTTGAACGCGATAAAACATCAAATGCGGTTTAGACACTTTGTTCAAATTATTTGAAAGTAGGACAGATGTGACTTTTTTCCCCTTGTGCACAATGTAAAAAGGGAAAGGAAAATAGGTTGCCGTAAATTAAGATGATCGCCAAGTGAATTGTTCTTGGCGTAAACTGAAAAAATACGCCAAGATAAATTTTTGAATTTCTCAATAGATTTCGCACCAGATTTTATAAAATTTAATATCTGGGCATTATTTGAGTCGTAGAATCGAAATATGGAAAACATTGGCATGTCATTTCAAAAAAAGTCTGATTTTGTCTCAGAATCTCTGTGTTAGAGCAATGCTATATATAAATCTAATGTATATCTAAGTCGCGCTTCCAAGACATGAAAAACGCAAATTTGGATTTCGTTAATCAGTCCAGTAGAACGGAAAATATAGAACTCTTCCCCCCTTTTCTTTTGTGTGTGTGTGTGCAGTGTAGAAATAAAACAGGGAGGTCATAAAAAATCCCCTACATATGAGAGACCTATTCACTCAATCTATCGAAATGAAATTTCAGATATTGAAGATATGCACTCGAGATTGTGATGAATTAAAACACTAGAGCTTTCACGGTTACGGTTACAGAAATTTTCCATATTTTCGACTGGCAACACCCCATTTTTTCCTGCACAAATGGAGAAGAACCGTAAATGGCATTCGAATTATACACGTACGACGAAATTTGGCGGCGTAAAACATTTCCAAAGAAAATCATTTTCAAGAACCAAAGACATCACTTGAAGGAGAGAAAGAAAACATTTTATTACAATTACAATTTTTCAACGTGTTCATCTTCGCAGGCGATAAGGCACTGTATGCGGGAAATTGTTGACAACAATAAAGAACGTAGCATCGCAGGAAGTGTCTGTATAACTTACGTTTTATGACATCTTTCAATTTTGACAGATCTTGCGGGGTTGATGAGTACACCTCAAATTTCAGATAATCCTCGAACCAGAAATCCATCGGAGTAAGGTCGGGGGATCTCGGCGGCCACGGACCTGCACACTTACCGGAGATGACTCTATCCTAAAACGGTGTATTGTTGAAAACTTGTAATTCCTATAACAGTTTTTCTTTCCTTCTCCTCTCTCGCGCTATCATTAATCCTTTATTTTGCTTTCCTTTGCAAATGTTTTATGACGGCAGTTTTCTTCATACGTATTATCATTCTACCGCCCTTTATATTTTTTCAGGGCGCTGATCAATTTGAGCAAAAAAAGTGGATGTCGCCATTTGAAATTTTCGAAATTTTTCTACCGTAACCGTACTTGTAAGAACGCTATTGTTTTAAATAATCACAATCTCGAGCGCATATCTTCAAATAACGATAGCTGAATTTTCATTTCGATTGCTTGAGCTGGTATGCGTTTAGGAGTTCATATATCAGAGATGTATTTTATAACCATCCTGTTTGAGAACTCCGCCACCAGTGATCTTTAATCCTCTCACGGCGTACTTTTTTTTATCAAAATAGGTTAAAAAATTGCGTATTTTTTTATTACATATTTCAAATCTCCATATACTTTATTAAAATATACAAAATTTTTGTAAAGAGGGTTTTTTTTCAATATAATTAGATCATAGAAGGTTGTCAGAATACTGAAATTGAAGAATAATGATATAAAAGGAAAATTTTTGAAAAATATTGGTTAATTATGATTATTTATAAATATTAAATGTAAACATATATACTATGAAAAATTTGCATAATGTAATATTTTGCACCATTGTCGAAATTTTCAATAGAACTGAATTTTCAATTCTCACTATCTGCAGAGGAATCCGAGAAATTTTCATCAGTTTCGCTATTATAACTATCTTCAATATACTTGAAATCAGAATCAGAACTACTATCAGTGTAGGAAATATCGTCAGGAATATAGGTTACATCACTCGCGAAACACTTCCTGCCAGACATCTTTGAGCACGCGTAAAATGCTACGTTACGTATTCTTGTATATTTGGCAGGTATGTGAACAACTAACACCATCTCTTAGCCTACATCTAAATAAACAATTAAACATCACAGAAAAGCCGAAAGGAAACCTTGAACGGGGAAAGAACAGGTTGCACGGTTAAATAGACGGCAAAAATTCATCCCCGCGGAAATTGCGCGTTGCGCAAATTTTGCTACATTTACGTTGCCCGTGTAAATCGCAGAATGCGCAGCGAAAGGGTTAAGAATCACGTGATAATCATTAGTTCTGGAATGAAGCACTTCTTATCTGCCCAACTGGTATAGTGGTTAGCGTTGCTCACTGCTATGCCGAAGTGCGAAGTGCTCGGGTTCGAATCCCGGAGAAGGAATGGATGTTTGTAAGTATATAGTGTCCGCGCGGCATGGGGGCACTCTAAATATGCGGGTCGAAAGTCCTCTCGAGAGGTTGGCCGTAAAGAAAGAGAAGTAGCAGACCCTCGGGACGTTTTTCCCGGTGTGCCCTCCATCCAAATTGGGGGTGAAACTGGGCTAAATCGCACGCACTGCCACATGTAAGGTGCTCAAGGGTGTTGCCAACGACAGGTGTAAACTTGCGTTCATTGCAACGAGTGATTTCCTGGGCTTGCGCTGACTACTGATCAGACAATACAGCATTAGCAACAACAACGACAACAGCACTTCAGAGAAATTCATTCTAAGCATTTTACTATTTTTGAACTAGAAAGGAGGAATAAACAAATTAAAAGAGCAGATATTATGGGCTATTTTAAATTAAAATAAAAATATTTTCTTACATATTTATATACGGATGTATGAATGTGTATATAGATAGAGACAGAAAAAAAATGTAATATACCTAAAAAATTAAGTAATAATTTATATGTGAATCATATTCCTTCCTAGCTGTTCTTCACTTTGATAACACCTACAGCTGGATGAATTCCAAGGAAGTCCAGTTTAAGATAATCATTGAGCCACCGGCTGTGAAAGATAATAATATCCCCAACTCGGTGAACAATGCAGCCAACGCCGTGAGGAAAATGATCGTCAAACAATGAAGATTATCTATTAGATTGACAAAAGAAGGAATATCCGAGGCGAAAGGAAATGCGAAGCAGAGTAAGATAATTCTGCTTACTTTCCGATGCTTGAAACAGAACAGGCGAACATCAGAGAAAGCGTGTCTATATTACCTGTTTTTTGGAAGCTTTGGGATAACTCATGTGAAATTATTTATATAGGACGTAATTTATCATATTTATATTTATATATCTCTTATAAATTACACTGTTTACTAAGCAAAATATAGTTACCATATAAAATTATTCGCGAAGAATTGGCAGTTGCAGCTGAACTTACATTGTTAGATATTTCTACGTTTTTACATTACGGAAAACACTTAAAAATGACGTTGCATATTTCTTTACTCGGAATAGGTATGGAAATGTTTCTGGTGAAAAAAGAGACATAAATTTTTTTCAGCAATTGATACGATAAAATAAACATTGTAAGTCAACAATTGCAATTCGTTATTGTTGGTCATCACTTATTTCAGGAATGTTTAAATAAAACTGTAAAAGCAGCAGTTTCTGAATTTGAAATTGATAACTTTAAAAATTTCTTTTGATGTATATCAATTTCTCTGTATTTGTATTTGATATTTCAAGTTAATATTTAATTTGTTAAATGTTTCCCATGTTTGTATACTTTATGTCTTAATTTTTGTAACGTATTAAGTTTCTAAGAAGAAACTTCTGAATAAAATCTACCACAAATTATGTTTTTTTTTATTCTTATTATTATTATTTTATTTTTTCTACCAAGGAGCTCTTTTTGCTTTAAAATGTATCCTTTGAGTGTTTCTTTGTTTTTGTTAATGCTTTAAAAATGCTGTCTCTACTCAAACATCTCTACTCAATCATCTGTCTCATACATCTCTACTCAAATTGCATGCGGGCCGAATGCTCTACCTGGAAAGAGATGACGGGACAAAACATTTTTTGTTAATTTAAAAACATTTTAAACGATTAAAAATTCTGTCTTTACTTAAAGATTTGTACTCAGTCATCTGTCTCATACATCTTTGTTCAAATTGCATGCGGGTCGAATGCTCTATCTGGAAAGAGATGGCGGGCAGAAACATTTTTTTAAAATTTATAAACATTTTAAACGATTAAAAATTGTCTTTACTCAAACATCTCTACTCAGTCATTTTTTTAAAATTTATAAACATTTTAAACGATTAAAAATTGTCTTTACTCAGACATCTCTACTCAGTCATTTGTCTCATACATCTCTACTCAAATTGCATGCGTGCCGAATGCTCTATCTGGAAAGAGATGACGCGCCAAAACATTTTTTTTATTAAAAACATTTTAAACGATTAAAAATTGTCTTTACTCAAACATATCTACTCAGTCATTTGTTTCATACATCTCTGTTCAAATTGCATGAGGGCCGAATGCTCTATCTGGAAAGAGATGGCGGACCAAAAATTTTTTTTTAATTAAAAAATATTTTAAACGATTAAAAAATCTGTCTTTACTCAAAGATCTCTACTCAGTCATCTGTCTCATACATCTCTACTCAAATTGCATGCGTGCCGAATGCTCTATCTGGAAAGAGATGACGCGCCAAAACATTTTTTTTTTATTAAAAACATTTTAAACGATTAAAAATTGTCTTTACTCAAACATATCTACTCAGTCATTTGTCTCATACATCTCTGTTCAAATTGCATGAGGGCCGAATACTCTATCTGGAAAGAGATGGCGGGCCAAATTTTTTTTTTTTTTTTAAATTTAAAATATTTTAAACGATTAAAAATTCTGTCTTTTCTCAAAGATCTCTACTCAGTCATCTGTCTCATACATCTCTGCTCAAATTGCATGCGGGTCGAATGAATGCTCGATCTGGAAAAAGATGACGGGGCAATTTTTTTTAATTTAAAAACATTTTAAACGAAAATAAATAAATTAATTAAATCATTATTTCAATTACTTAGTGTTTATTAAAACATACGTCAAGCACAGTATAAACAACACAAATGAAAAGTTTAAATTTATGTATATTTTTTATCTGAAATCCGTATCTGTTAGATGTCTGTATCGGTCACTCTGTAATTCAAAAATATTGTCAGTTAAATATTCAACTTTAAAACGACATTTTTTCAGATAATTCCAGTGGGGTGAATTAAACACTAAAAGATTAATAATAATAATAATAAATCTGAAAGAGGTCAGATTTTAATAGTCGCCCAAAAGAATTTGCTAAGGTTTTCTTGCAGTCTCGCTTGAGTTCGCTGTCTACTGGTGCACTCACTTCTGCTAACCCATAATTTTTTGTCTTTTTAGCTTTATTATTAAGCATTCGTTTTCTTCCCACGTACACCATATACAGTTTAACAACAAGACTGCAAATTATTTTAAAGCCGCATAGTAGCATATGTTTGGAATTCCCGAAGCATTGTTAAAATGCTCGCATATACTTTTTATATTTCTTTCAGTATTTTTTCAGTTCATTATATCAATATCCAGTTTTTTTTAGTAAGACGGCTAACAAAAATATATTTTCTTCTTTTTATTATTAACTCTTTATGTGTTAATTTTATTTATTAAATGACACGTTCGTGGCATTTACGCTGCATAAATTTCAATTCAGCAGCAAAATCACAAAATATTTAAAAACAGTTTCCCTTAGAATTTCCGATACAGAGTCTCGCGCGCTGGATATGGAAATATTTTATTCCGTTCAGTGTTGCAATTGCTCACTTTAAAATTGTTGAGTTTGTTAAGCAAAAATTCGTTACAGTTTTACAAAATATGAAATCAATAATAAAACAAACTTGAAATTCAAAATTTGGGCTTCCAGGTACACATGTTTGGGTGGAGGACTATGTTATTCAAAATTTGATTTTTTCACAATGCGAGAAACATGTATTCACGGAGATTCTTCATTATTTAGTTTCATTAAATACAATACAGTGCCAAAGTATTTGGTGGTAGCAATTGGAAAAGTGATACAAAGCATTTATTATTTACGACGTAAAATGCCGTTTCCAAGTTGATATCCCGTTTGGGAACAACGTTCTTTTTGGACAGAAAATTAAGAAAAGAACCATCAGAAATTTTATTCATAAAATTTTAACCATGACGAAAATTAAAGTATGGATAAAATGTTTAATTATGTATATTTTAATAAAATAACACAAAATGTTTAATACAGCAACGTGACTCTAGTCCTGTACTTGTACAAAAAAATGTGTCAAAAAGAAAAAGCGATGTAAACAGTATAGTAAAAAGAGTTACTATATTTAAATGCAGTTATGATATCTAAATGGTCACACAATACTTTAGTATGTACACTGCGCAAAAAAGAAAAAAATAGGATAGTTCTATATCTCCCTTTCTACTGGGTCGACTGACAAATTCAAATTACGTTTACCATGTCTCGAAAGTGAGAGTTAGGATACATATTAGATATATATATATATATAGCATTATTCTAGCATAGGTATTTGGACACAAAATCGGACTTTTTCTGAAACAGGTTAGGTTAGGTTATTTAATTACGGCAAAGCCTCGAAGGCTATCTGCCTAAGGGGAGGGATGCCTTCGTGGAGGACTTTCTAAGGGGAACTGGCTCGTATACAAGTTACACATAGGGAAAACCACGCAAATACCCATGCAGCCAGCCCGTTCGCGGACCGAACTACCAGCGTTCACCGACTTTACCGCTCGGGCGCTGTTAGATTTTTCTGAAATAACGTACCAATTGTTTTCCACATTTCGTTTCTATGACTCAAATTATGCCTAGATATTAAATTTTATAATTTTGGTGGGAAATTTATGGAGAAATTTAAAAATTTATCTTGGCGATTTTTTTCAGTTTCCGCCAAGAATGATGCGAAGAACACTCGGAGAATTTCTTAATAGCAACCTATTTTCCTTTCCTTTTCCTTCATTGACCACGAGCGGAAAAAAAGCCGTTGCTTATACTTTCAAATAATTAACAAAATGCGCAAAACACATTTTCGTTATTAAGGCTTATAATAAATAGAACGGGAGATACAAAATTGTCCCAAATTTTTTTTCGCAATGTACAAAAAAGATTCTTTTTTCTGTTCTTTTATCTTGCCGAACTCATTCAACAGCAAATGCGCATATTAAATATTTCAATGTTTACTTCCTTAAAAACTCACCTCTTTTTGTCCAACCAAATATAACCACATTCTAGAAAAGACGTAAAAAATATCCTTTTTACCCAAATACATTCCACTAACACGAAAACCAATCGAAAAATTCCAAATTGAATCATGTAAGAACTTTTCTAATTTTAAGTAAGGTAAGTAAGGTTTATTGGTACATCATAATCAAATAAGAAATCATCTGCATTAATAAAGTTTTAAAAAGGATTTTTAAATTATAATAAGAAAACAAATTTTCAAAAATACAGTTTTAATAAAATAGAAGGAAAAGTATTTTGGTGCATATGATTTAAACGCATTGATTCAAATTAAAAAAATTTGAAAATACTCCAGAGCAGTTATCCAAGCACATTGTTTCTTATGGCAAAAATAAAAATCTGATGTGAAAGCCACATGACTTCCTTGTACCCCATGTTAAATTTATACACATTTTTTTCCGCACTTCGTTTAAACTTGTTTCTCCGAATTTCTTTAGAAATATATTTCTCATTCAGTCTACTCGATTCTGACTTAGCGACAAAACAAGGACACATAAAAACTCAAAATATCTTCATTAAAATTTATGAAATACAGAAAAAGCTTAACACCAAATACAGTCAAAAACAGTTAAAAAAATTACAATTAAAATTAGTTTCTCTGACTGAACAAGTAATTCGGCTAGCAGGTAGGAGAACAAAATTTTCGTGCACAAAATTGAAAGTTAACTTTTGTTTCCACTAAGCCAAAAGACACTAAAGTTGGTGCACCAATTGACTTAATTCAATGTGCTACTAAGAGTTTTAAATGTAAGCATATGGTGGCCTCGTTAGGCTTAATTCTTCACTTAAATTTCTAAATTGTGGATAATTCAGTGACTATTGTATGCAGATTAACAAAAGGCATGGAAACCTTAACTGGAACATAAAAATGCATAATTAAGTCATTTTTAGAGCAAAAAATGCCCAACTTACCAACGTATAAGAACAAAAACCCTAAGCTCACAGAATCGGGTAACAGAGTGGAAATATATTATATATATAAACACGTTTGGTGTTGTCGATTGCAACGAAAAAGGGTTTGGTTTGGTTTATTTAATTAAGGCAAAGCACACTAGGGCTATCTGCCTAAGGGGGGATGCCTTCGTGGAGGATTTCTTCGTGGAGGGAAACTGGTTCGTATACACGTTACACATGGGGAAAACCACGAAAACGCCCATGCAGCCACCCCGTTCGCGAGATTCGAATCAACGAAAAAGGGAGGTGCACTACTAGATGTTATAGCAGTCCCATATGCAAAATTCCCAATAGAAATACTTAAAAATTGCTGATAATTTAACAATTATTGCATACAGATTAACTAAAGACATATTACTGTAATCGGAACATAAGTCCAACATCACTCAATCACTTTTCAAGCAAAAAATGCACAATTTAGCAACATATAATAATAATAAACAGAGCTCAACGAGCCGGGAAAGAAGGTGGGTCCATATATAAATATGTGTATATATGTCTGATGCCTGCCGATTGCAACAAAATAGGAAGACGCAGACTGAGCTAGATGTTACCAACAGTCCCATATGCAAAATTTCAG